GTTATGTCGCACTCGCGAGAGGCAGCACCCTTCAAGGGACTCCGAACGAGCGGGTATTCCCAAGAATTCAATGCTAACGAAACGGTCCTCATGAGAACACCACCAAACCAAAAACTGTCTGTACTTATGGCATTTGCCATGTAGAAGTAATAGCACCATATTTATATGCCCGAATACTCCCTGAAAGTCACGAACTCTACACCTATATACCAACAACACCCAGCCTACGTAGGACTTACCAACCAGAACTTGAGAATTCACCACTGGTATCTTTACTCATACTAGTAACAGATACCCTTCAGATGATTGCATAACTGCCAATACATCTTCCAATCTCTGTCTTTACTGCAAATTGACCCTTCCTCTGCAAAATACTTTTAATAAAAAAAAATCATCAATTCTTTACCTATCCCTTTTCCACAGTTACTTATAACTGATTGTGCACTTCATTATCAACCAATGGGGGTCACTTAAAAGCTCACTGCTTTTAAAGATCCAGTCTCACCACTGGTTTTCTCATCCTTACGGGAAATCGGGGAGCAGGAGCAACTACTGTTCTCTCCTCATCCCGTATAGCATCTCTCTCATCAGGCTCTGATTCAGAGGAAGAATCATTAGGGGGAACCTGGATGTCATTTACATGGACAAACATATCTCTGTTGATACATCTTTTCACCTTGATGGATAAGATCGGTGCATGGTGGCCTCGTACAATAGTCTTCCTATCAATATGGAGACTCTTCAACTGTGGTGGACAAGGTACATCGGGCTTTAATGACAATCTATTGACGCATTTGATTCCTTGCATGTGATCTCTCATTACTACTTTCCCATATTCATGTGACTGGCCTGCCCAAATGAAAAGTTTCCTTTTACGTTCCCAGGTTACTCTAAATCTACCAAGGAGATCTGCTCCGAATAGCAATTCTGCATTAAAGTATTTATCATCCACCACAATAGCATGGTGTCTGACTTGCAACTGGGGTGTTACTTGTACTGTTATGACTACTTTACCTTTAATTTTTAACTCATCTCCCGTAACACCCTGGTATCTATCTTTACAAGGTTTGATGGGTTGCAAATTCAAAGTTTTTACTAGGCTCTCCTGAATTAAGGTGGCTTCACTACCTGTATCTATTAAAGCAAGACAGACACGTTCATTTACAGTAAACCAAATGCAAGGAGACACATTGGAAGGAACCCGCTTATGTCAATATTTTGGATAGTGCCGACGGTTGGCGCGTCCAGGGCAGCGTTGACTGTTTCTCCGACATCCTACTTCCAAGCAATCCCAACATGAACGTGGGGGTGGATTTAAGGGGCAAGTAGAAGTATCATGATTCGGTGTTCGGCAATATGGACAGTAAGGTCCCTGTCGCTTTCCAACTAACCTTTTACGAGGACTTTCAAATAAGGCTACCGCGTGTTGATCTCGCTTACTACTGGTACCCCAAGCTCCTCCTGTTACGTTACCTTCGGCCCGACTGGCTCTTTCACTTATGGGAAGTTCTTGGGTCGCATGCTTGTGAACTGGGCGGATACCAGGATACCCAGTTCTGTTACTTCGCAGATAGATATGTCGGAGTTTCTCCAATTGTTCGGCCATCGTGTCTACTGGACAACAAGGGGAATAATAGGATATCAACTCCTCTTTCAACTGTTCTGGCAGTTTCTGGTACAATTTATCTTTCAAAGTTTGTTCTTCACCTTCCCTGGGCCCATACCGGCGGAAAATGGTTGTGAGAACTGATTTAACTTGGCCCAAAAAGCGCCGGGGATCATCTTCCAAATGGTACTCTAACCTCGCAAATTCCTGCCAGGCAACTTCCAGAGGGATTGGTTTCACAAACAACTTCCGCAAGGTGGCTTTAAGTTTATCCCAATTTTCCTCATCGGTGCCGAGTTCTACTTGGACCATGTCTTCAATCTGCTGGTCCATGCGGTCGGTAGCTACATACCATCTATCCCGTGAGCTAACTGCGCAATATTCTACTCTCTTACAGAATTTAGTTAAGATGTTGTCTGTGTTAAGACCAACGAGGTCGTCCAAGGACAGCCTCGGAACGTATTGGTGGTAATGGGGACCAGGAGGTCGGCTGGGTATATCGTTAGTAGGGGGCAAAAGTGGAACCACGGCAGGAGGAGGTACAAGTGGAACCACGGCAGGAGGGGGCACAAATGGAACCACGGCAGGAGGGGGCAAAAGTGGAACCACGGCAGGACGAGTAGGTACAGCCGGTTCTTCCCTCCGTTCATCAAGCAAAGCTTGTTGTCTCCTTATCGTATCCATAGACTCAGCGAGTTTAGCCCGAAGAGCTTGGACTTCTGTTGCTAAATCAACAGCGGCTTTGGCCGTCATGGTCCCCTTATTTGCGTTAGCATCTGCCATTGTGTTACAACAAATCAATACTATAACCCACTTTAAATACAATACATGCCCAGTGCTCACTCAAGACCCAAGGACTGGTACTGATTTTCTGCCATACGACTAACACTCCATGCATCAACTATTCAAACTACTGTTCAGATTATTAATCTCCCCAAAGATAATATTATGGCATCAAAAATTCACTTAGACACTTTGCCATTCACAGACTCAGTATGGTGCAACACTGCGTGAACACTTCACGAATTTCCGTACTCACAATTCTGGGTCCATACACTTGTATAACATTTTCCATATACCGTATCACCATAAGGTCCTCACATATATAATACTGTATTCTGAAAGTATACTGGCATTAGAGTTCACATAACATACGTTACACAAAATAATGACCCGTTAGCACCTGGTTATAAGGTCCTCACATATATAATACTGTATTCTGAAAGTATACTGGCATTAGAGTTCACATAACATACGTTACACAAAATAATGACCCGTTAGCACCTGGTTAAAATAACTTTAAAATTATAGCGTATACATAGGAATATTAATAGTAGGAACTGTAAAATGCCTCGAGATATTAAGTAAATGGAATATATATCCTACCTAACACATAACTAAAGAATATTACAAATGCAGAATTAGCATCCACTTAACCTTTGCATATAGTGCACTGCTTCTGTTAGCACTCAGAATTAAAACACTGGGCACTCCCACGATGGAACATTTCACAACTAGTGCCACGGCCCAAACATGTATTCACTGTCTGTAAGTAATACTGAGTTAACAACAGAAAAAAAATTTGGGCAGATTATTACATATCAAAATTCTTCCACTATTAATGAACCTTATTCACACTCTACAAGTTATTGTTGCAGGTTTCCTTTTACTTTAAACAAGACTTTTCTAACCTAACTCCAAGGTATTTCTTTGAACTTATTTCACTTTCTCTGCAAACCACCACAAAAAGCTGTACCTCGGAAAAATATGGAACAAAATCATTAGCAATCTGAAATACTCATTAGTTACAGTGGAATGGTTATTAAATACCCGTACAGAGAAATGGTTATAACTCAGTTAAACTACAGTATCACAGTCATTCCTCCCAACTCGATACTATGTTCATTACATCACCATAGCTGCCACCATTTATGAGGGCTTGAGCTGCCACCATTTATGAGGGCCTGTGTGCCAGTAACAATTCCTTTTACTCATATATCACCATTGGTAGCGTGACGATAGGAGGCTCGTGGGTAGGTGTAATGATAGTATCAAGCAATAGGGAAGAAATAACGGTAGATACTGTAGGTAAATAATATACACAATTATACAGATACAAAGTTTATTTAAACATGAATATGAAATTAGAAGAAAAAATTGGTTTGTACTAACAGACGAAATCTATTACTAGGCCCTCAGGCTCAACATACTCACACCATTACTGGGTGGACATATTCAATACCCTTCCAACCCTACTGGGTGGACATACTCAATAGCACAACTAGGATAGTCACTTAGCACCATACATATTAGAGCAACTGCCACTACAACACTCAGTCGTCAGGAGTGATACTCAAGCAACAGCCATGGGGTCCAGCCACCATGGAGTACTATCCGACGAACTCTGCAGATCCCAGTGGGTTAATTCCACCACACAAATATAGCCCTACTGAGTTAGACACTCATCCACCAATGATGGGGGCTGGTAGTGGGGTGTGGCTTGGTGGTCCAGGGTCACCTCGTGGACCGAGCGTTAGGGCCAGACGAGCCAGCTATGGGGGCTATAGGTGGTCTGAAGTGTCTGACGGCCGGGTCTCACGAAGGTAACTGATCCTACTGGACCTCGGACATGTCCCCAGACATAGTGGATACAACATCCACCCTACAGACACGGCCTAGGCTGCGTTAGGGACCTGTATGGATGAAGGGACGGGCACTTACTAACGGTTAAAATGCCCGCGTGCCCTCACTCAAACCAGACCAGGGAGTCCAGCTACTCCTATTCCAATGAATTAATTTACGGTACCCTCTGACGTTGAAATTGAGACTATGAACTCCTTTTCATTCTCTACTATTATCTTCACTAACAATGCTCTGACTCAGCTATCGAAAGCAAAATTAAATTGATTACAAAGGAATGGATGGCAACAGGTCCCAGCATACAGCGTCTGCTCCCATAGACAAAGGCGGGGGAAACAGAGAAAACGGGGGACGTTTCCACTGGGGGACTCGGAAGGTTTTGTGGACGTTTGAGCGTAATATGAATCCTTAAGGTTTTCAGGTTAGCTCTTATCATGACCATTACAGACCAACCACCCAAGCGGCTAATGAACTGGTCAGTGGCAAATAAGGAACGAGAAGACAGCTTTTAAGACAGATTGACAGATTTTACAGTCAGTGATCAGAAGAGGAAAGAGTAGACTGAAATTACAGCAATGTTTAACACCATTCCCTCTCTTTCCCTTCAAATTAATCTTTTAAAGAAAAGAGAAATGTTACTCGACTTGGGACGGGAGTATGAATAATACTGTACATATTGTACAATAAAAAAAAATAATAGTTTTGGATAGTGCCCAAAGAGTATTCATGGCAATGGTTAAATCATACAAATAAATTTAGAATTTTCTTTTAATTACCCAGTAAATAATTTTTCAGTTGCTAATTTGCATTTTCTGGCTCAAACATCACGTTCACATAAATTTTAGGAACAGGTACCACATTTTTTTTTTCCAAAGTAGGATATGTATTATTATATTTATGATTCAATCAACCCCTCAAAATGTTTTTTGCCAGACAAATCTATCATTTATTTAAAATAAAACACATACAGTATAGCCACAGTTTGATGACAATAAAAAAATAAGAAAAAAAAGAGTAACATTACTTAACAGTTTTCAAACAACAAAATATTTGTAGACGAACTGACGTCCACTCCACAAGGGGTCACAGCTTAAGGTTGAAGAAACCACAAGTTCAGAAAACTGTGAGGGGGAACCTTTTCAGAGTGAGAATTGTGAACTCTTGGAACAACCCTGCAGCCACCTGCAATGCAGGACCCTTGTAAATGCAGCCACCTGCAATGCAGGACCCTTGTAAATGCGGCCACCTGCAATGCAGGACCCTTGTAAATGCAGCCACCTGCAATGCAAGAACCTTGTAAATGCGGCCACCTGCAATGCATGAACCTTGTAAATGCGGCCACCTGCAATGCAGGAACCTTGTAAATGCGGCCACCTGCAATGCAGGACCCTTGTAAATGCGGCCACCTGCAATGCAGGACCCTTGTAAATGCAGCCACCTGCAATGCAGGAACCTTGTAAATGCGGCCACCTGCAATGCAGGAACCTTGTAAATGCGGCCACCTGCAATGCAGGACCCTTGTAAATGCGGCCACCTGCAATGCAGGAACCTTGTAAATGCGGTCACCTGCAATGCAGGAACCTTGTAAATGCAGCCACCTGCAATGCAGGAACCTTGTAAATATAGCCACCTGCATTTCCAAGGTTCCTTTCAAGGAATTTAATACAGTAAGTTCTACTTAGGCCAGACAGGAAAAGATCTTGTAACTAGACTTAAACAGCATAAATATAGTGTTCGGAGAGGCCAAGAATCCAATGCTCTGTTCATTCATATGAGAGATAATAAGCATTGCATTGACTGGGATAATGCCTCCTCAATATTACCTTATAATTCAATCATCAGTAGGAACATTATAGAATCTAGTCTCATTAAACTTAGCGAATCTGTCACCACGAATTTCAGTAATGGCATGTACAAAATGCTAACACACTTGGATACCTACCTTACTGCATACTTAGATAAACTGTTGCAATTATTGATTTTAAAAATATATATATACAATTCATTATAAAATGGAGATATCTGGAAAGTACAAGAACAAAATCTGTTGACCCATTTGCTATGCTGCCATAAAGAACATAACTTTATATCTTCAAGTTGGCAAGAGTAGGAATAATGGTGGTGTAAATCTCAACGCCACGCATAAATATCTTCTCATTGAGGAATTCATTGTGGTGGTGGAGTAAGATTGGAGTTTTATTCATGGGGGAAAACCCAAGAGCTGGGATGTTGACCTGAAGAAAAATTATGACAATTAGTATTGAAACTTGATTTAAATACCACTCATTGTATCAAATTACTGCACCTTGAACAGTACTTGACAGTGGACAAACCAAATATAAAATTCCTTAACTATGAAGTGGAACACTTCGCTTTCTGAGTCAGCCATGTCAATGTCATTCTTAATGTCCATTCTGTATCTGTATTTTTCAGGCTAAATCAATATCAAGAAGGGGATACAATAAATGACAATATTTTTCGTTTTTCAACCAACTTAAGATTTTTTCAACAGAAAACTGGAATGTACAGAATTGTTTTCCTCAATACTGTATAGGTTTTTACCTTCCTTAGGAACCTGCAGTCTGTGGCAGCAGGAAATATTTGTTTCACAAGTTTTATACCTCTGAAAGAACAGACATTTGTTTTAGTAAGTTCCAATTATATCTATCTTAACACAAGATAAAAAATACAAGAACTAACATCCTGTATGCTACTTCCTTGAGTGTTTGTGTCAGTAACCCTGAGATGATAAGTGTCAGCTTAGCCAGGGGTGCTGATAAAGACAGTAATCTACTGAGCACACTACAACAATACCCTAGTAACCCTGCTTGCCCACAGGACTAAACCCTTCTCTCCTGAGGTGGAAATTCAAAGATATATCAAGAGTCCTAGATCCCTCAGAAAATAATAATTATTTTCAATTTTTTTAACCATTTCCTGCTACAGCCAAAACCAGAGTATCTAAACACTTGGTCTCTTACAGTGTCCAGACAATAGAATGGTTCCCAGATAGAGTAAAGCTGTAAATGGTAGAGTACAGCTTTATAAAGTAGAATGCTTACTGTGACTGATAATCAAAAATAATATTTAATGCCTAACTTGGTAACATTCTAGACTCCCAACCCACAAGACAATGGTTCAGTTGTTTTCACTGAACTGGCCATGATAATTGAATTTTAGTCAATTTGACCAAGGACAGCTGACAAAGCCATGAGATGCTTATTTCCAGTTGAGTCCTTATGCCAGCAGCATCTGGTATTGTTAGGGCCAGGCGGTCACCTATCCAAATACAGTACTAACCAGACCCAACGTTGCTTAACTTCGCTGATTGGACGAGGGGCCATATTCTCAGTCTTTACACCACCCGATCGATCAGGAACAACGCAGGGTGAGGTCTTTCAGAAAGACTACAGTCCCGGAGGATCAGGTTTGCTACCGAGATTGTTGGAACATTTCATCGGGAGGGGGAACTCGCCCGATGACAGTCCCGATGAATGTAAAAACCTTTTCATCCTCCAAATTTTTAAACTTTTACTTTTATCCTCCTTGTTACTGATCGGCTCGTTAGCCACTTGGGCGGTCAGACATGTCTCTGTTATACACTGTTGGCAAGTACTGGGCATGCACTGGTTCCTGAATGCATCCGAACCTGCTCCAGTGCTGATCAAGTCTGGTCTTGAAACAGCTCCCACTCGGTGCTGTCCCAACACTCTCTGGCAGGTTGTTCCAAGAGTTCACAACTCTCACTCCAAAAATATTTGCCCTCACAGTTTTCAAAACTGATAGAAAATAAGTTTGTTGGTGACAAACTTTTGTGTTTATATACATTCAAAGATTATCAGTTATTTACAAGTGTAAAATATTCTCGGCTGATCATGAGCGTGCATCCTTGAGTAAGCAACACAATGCCATGTTATTGTGTCAGCTGACTCACTGTTAGTCAACCATCAGCCATCCCAGTGTGGCCAACACCTGGTGAAATATAACCTTTCAAACAAACCTTACAAACACCAGAGAACAATAATTTCTATAGCCCATAGATATCCTCTATCACTTTTATGTTCGTTTGGTCTTTTTTTTTTTGGGGGGGGGGATATTATTGGAGTACTCGATGCCTCCTGGGCTGTGGTAACAGTGGGCCATGTAACAGATTTGGAAATATTGGTAGTCCTGCCTGGTACATCACAATCCCGACCCATCGTATTGCCCGAAGCACGTTCTTAAATTACCTTACCCCACACAAGTGTATGGTGACCGATGGCTGGACACACCATTGGGCATGACGACTGAGAATACAGCCCAAGAAGCGATGTTTCCAACGTGGTACAACTGCTTGTCAGCCACCTCAATGCCCTCAACTATGTACAACTGCTCCCACTTGGGAATTGTTACCCCCAAAACTGAGGGAAATGGTAAAGGAAGCATTTTCCACATACACATTCAAGGAAAATATAGTGAACATCAGAAAATGTGGTACAGTAATACCAGTACATACTCATCTTTACAAGCTTGAGAGAAAGCATCCCACCATGGATTCTTGCCATCTTCTACACATGTTAAGTTTGGATATTCATCCTGCAAAGATAAATTTCATTTGTTATAGACTTCAGTGAAAGGTTAAAGGGTTTTCGGTACAGGTATTTGAAAACCACAACATAATCTAACTTATACTAATACAGTACAGTATAATCATTAGGATTTTGGGTTCAGTCACAATAAGCCTGTTTTCAGGCCTCACCAACTAAATCTAACTTATCCAAACCCAGCCATTTGGGCTCCATCCTACTGGGCCTCAGTTCTAATCGGTCCCAGTCTTACTGATAAGATTAGAGTGGATTAGGATAAATTAGGATTGCAGCTCATTTGACCTACAATCAGAGTTCTACCATTACCGGTACCACAAAAAATATTGATCCTCTTTAATTTTTCACAAGATATTCATACAAAAACGTATTTCAAGGATGAATAAAACACGTTTACAGACTGGTGAAGTTGATAATAATCCAATAAATGTTTTTCCAAGACAGTTTTGTAGCGATCAGAGTTCATTGTCGTGTTATGGGGGAGGAAATGGGAGGCCAGCACAACCACGTTTTCCACTGAACGCTCCCCACACCATCACACTTGCAGGATTTTTCACGGTTTTAATGGTGTTACGAGGATCATACCGGCTGGCGTTGGTGGGCCTTCTGACTGTCTGTTTCCCTGCAGTCAGGATGCAAAATGTGCTTTCATCAGATCACATCACAGAATTCCATTGTTCTTTGCTCCAGTGCTGGTATTTTCTTGCAAAAGCAAGCCGCTGACACCGCTTTCAAGCTGTGAGAAGTGGTTTTCGTGCAGCTTGACGGGAAGGCGGTTGAAGTTCCTTCTGAAGGTGATGTTGAATTGTTCATTGTGATACATTTAGCAGGTGGATGGGGTGTGCTTTCTTCAGTCGTGATGCACTCATATAGGATCTCTCATTATCTCAAGCCTCAGTAGTGAATCAGTGCATTTGAAGGTCTTCCTGGTGATAATTTCCTTGGTGGAATAACGTTGGCGGGAAGGTTGCGTGTCGATCACTTGAGCCTCTTAATTGTTGCCATTCCTCGTCCTGTTCTCCTTGAAATTTCTTTCACAGCGACTTTTTCCTCTCGCAGGGCAAGGATCAGACCCTTCTCTGCCTCAGACATGTTTTAGGGAGCCATGAATGTACAGGGTGTCCATAAATGATTACCCTGATTAAAACATGAGCATACTGTTTTTATGGTAATCATTTATGGACACCTTGTAGTTTTGAAAGAAAATTTTGGGCTAATTGTGAGTGTCTTAATTTGCACTCATCAGCTTGGCGAGTGAAAATTAACGCGCACCCTAATCGATAGCAAGTGGGGCACTGGCCAAGTTTCTCTCACTTGACACTTCAAGTCGCGCGGGAAACACTGAAGAGTTGCCAAATGTTATATATTCCCGCCTTGACAAATTTGGCGGGCTGCTTTTCGCGTGGTGAAAGCATATACGTATATATATAAACACAGCTAATTATGCAGAGGGGATCAATATTTTTTGCAGTGTTTGTATAATGGGTATTGTGAAGGCTTATAGCCATAGTTTCGTACAATATATCATATAGGGTGCCTAATATATACTACTGCTTCTCCACACATACATAAAAATAACTGATATCTCTCACCATGGCATAAAAATTTATCATCAATCACACTTTTCTCATCAGCACATTACCATAATCTATTAACAGTTATAAAAAAGATTCAAAAGGATTAAACTAGGATTCCTTACCAACACAAAAAGCTTAGCTAAATACCTAGTATACATTACCATTATAAAAAATGGGATGTTTGGTAGTCACACTGGATATCACCCCTCTCATGTATGTCTGGGCCAAGCAAGACTCAAACTCTAAAATATTGGCGAGATACGTGCATTACCATAGTACCTCCACATCAAGCTCTCTCCAAACATTCTATATGTGCAAAGTAATCAAAGCAAAAATCTAGATGAGTTACCTTGCTTTCTGAATGACTGCCAGGAGCAATGTGTTTAAACTCATAGGTAACATCATCTCCTGCTTCTTTGCACCAACTTTTGATCATGTCTTCAAATTTGTTTTCACCTATTGTAGGGGTGACACGAACATCAAAGCCAACACAGAGCTCTGAAGGTACCACATTAAACTGGACACCACCCTGCAAGATACTGTATAATGTAAAGATGAACTTTTAAAGAGAAAATTATACCAACACAAGATTACTGAATATATAACACTACAAGAACAGGTTGTTTTAATATCAGCAACTTTAGAGGGTAGCCACAGTCCCAAGTTTAATGTCAAAACAAACACCAGTTCATAAAAAGGCTTTAACTGTAGATTAATAACGTCAAAAGAAAAGTAAGCAAAAATTTTGATAAAAAATCTCTTCTACTGTACTATGTGCTTGTACAAAAGATAGCAAATAATGTATTGAATTGAATTGAATTGAAACAGTTTATTTAGCCAGAAAAACAGATACAGAGTGGATAATACTGTAATAACAATATTAACATGGCTGAGCCAGTTGAGAACCTGAGCTCTCTTTGAGGCACCTGATATATACTATACATTTATGTCAAGGAAGTATTATGTAACATTTATTATCATCTGGAATAGTACAATAGCATGGTTACCACGGTTATCACTTCAATATTTAATTATTTAATTATTTTTTATTTTATTTCTATTAGTATTATTTTGTTTATTTATATATATATACTGTATATATATATATATATATATATATATATATATATATATATATATATATATATATATATATATATATATATATATATATCTATCTATATATATATATATATATATATATATATATATATATATATATATATATATATGCATATATATATATATATATATATATATATATATACTATACATATATATATATATATATATATATATATATATATATATATATATATATATATATATATATATATATATATATATATATATATATATATATATATATATATATATACAGTACTATAGACGTCCAGGTCGTTTTCACATTTCATCTCTGTTAATGCTCGGGGTTTTGTCATCACATTGGGACATGTGATATGCCTCTTTGCTGTTGGTATGACCTAGGTGCATCCTCATGCATTTTGTGACCCAAACCCTTTCATTCCCAAATCAGAGCAAACTGGATGTCATGACAGGAGTAAAAAAATTATATTCTTACAAGTGTTTTTATGATATGGTTCCTTTTTACTTGTCTGTTCCCTCCCAACTGACTGGAACAGAAAAAATAAGATCTCTATTGCTCATCAATATCTTAAAATAGATAGCAATTCAACCAAAATTTTTACCTTAAGGCTACTTCCTTTAAAGGAGAAAAACTATGTAAAAGTGGAAAATAAGTACACTGGAACAATATCTTTTAAACAAGTACAACAATTACCTGCAGCATTGTGAGGTTGACACTGGTAACATCTCCAAGATTCAGGTCCTTGTCTTCCTTCAGTAATTGTTTTTGTTGGCTACGAAAGTTAAGGAAGGAGTTGATCACCCTTTGAAGTTTTTCTCCTGCAGTGTTGGGTAGGAACTGTGATCCATGACCGGGTTGACCAGGGCACTTAACATATACCCCTGAAAATTAAACTGTCATTAACCTGTTCAATGGGGCTAGTCAAAATTTCAAGTGTACCTTTCCATTGGTGGCATGTCTGCATTGAATGGGTTAATCTGTGAGCTGAACAAGTAAGATGGTGGAGGTGGAGTGGAGAAGCAAAACCTTTTTAGACTAGAATTTCCACTCTTCTACACCATTCAATACAGTACAACAATTAGTTTGGTAAAGTGATACACAGTACATAAACCTCTTGGACCTACAAACCTTCATAGAGTATATAAAAGGGTGTACAGTACTGTGTTATTATTTCATGTGTACCATAATATGGTATTAGTGAAGCATATTTCCCACTATATTGCCAGACACAAACATTGGCCATTTTTACCCTCAGCTTACAAGAACTTATCAATCCTCCATGAACAGCTGACAGTCTACTAATGTATATATATTTCCATAACTGGGGAAGGAACTTGATAGATTATTAATTCTCCAGTGTTCTTAAACTGTTTTTCTCTTCAAGAGTGGAGTGTTAGTATAATACATAAGGAAGTTTATTGTCTGGAGATGTTTGTTGGAGTCGCATCTGACCCAGAACACAGCAGTGAGAGGTAAATGTGATACAACTGTACCACCAACACCCCAAGAGTAAGAGACAATGAAGGTCTTAAAGAACAAACCAACCACCTGAATGGTTAGTAAGCTGATAAGTGGTGGAAATGACAAGTAAAAACAATTATTTTGAAAAAATTAAAGAACACATAAAAGAATTTTAAGACAGAACTATACTTGCTTGGCCACAAACTTGTAAGTATGTGTCATGGGTTAACAATCAACAGCTATAAATTCTTAATTCTCTTCAACACATAAGGAAATGGTATTCTTGCCTCTAACATCAACTTACCGTATATCTACTGGAAAACCACACAAGAAATGGTCAGGTAATACAGTAACTTAAAAGTACAGTAGTTTTGTTTGAGGGTATTATAGATTCCTATTTCCATATTTTTAAAAATCTAAATGTATATACAGTAAAGTACTGTACTGTAATAGTGTACTGTATTCAAAATTGTAATGTTAAGTACAAAAATATTAAAACTACAGTTCCAGTACTTATCTACATATATAAAATACATTCCATTTGTGTATCTTGATGTTCCTAATGCACTTTCAGTTTTGAAGATTGTGTGATGAAATTTGGTAGGGAGGTGTGGGTGGCCTAGGCCCAAGAGGATGGTCATATAGTATCTCCTGTCCCTCCGCAAGGGGCAGGTCAGCCACTGCAGGGCTAACCTGCACCCCACTCATAATTTTGGTTATGGGCCCATGGCCAGGATTTAATTCATTACTGTAATAACCTGAGCAAAACCAGGTAACTCGGCTAGTTACTCACATCTTACCTACAAATATATAAGAATCTAGTAAAATAATTACTGTACGCATTAATCAATTGATTAGTTTCAACCATTGGTGTCAAACACTGCAGTATGTAAATAAATAAAGAGATAGCTATGAAACTTCAAAAGGCTTTGCTGCATGAAAAGTTTTTCATAATATTAATCCAGTATTTTTCTAGCGAGATGTAACAGTTACTATGCTTGGAGAAAAGAATAAATATTGAAAACATTGACTTTTCAGATTTGCTTTATGTCAAAGCTTTTCATACACTCAAAATCTTAACTTTAATTAAGTCTTCAATTGTACATGGGCATATCATGCTCCTGTGGGCAGGTAATAAATATGTTCTTCTTAAGCCCAAATTATCAAAATACCATACTGCACTGTATATTAGTACTATGCAAAAGCCTGACTTGATGGTAGCTAATAATTATCATCGTCAAAGCTAGTTTGTTGGTATATGTATACAGTAGTACAGTAAAAGTAGCAACATTATTATCATCAAGCCACACAAAACTGCAAAGAACACATTCAAGTGAGGTAAAAAAGTTCTTACATAGTACTGTTCTTTCTCCATAAAACACAGTGTACTTCTCAGTTGGGTTAGCATACCCCTCATCCAAGGCAAAGCCAACTTTCAGTTTTTTGAAGATGTCAGTTTCTATAAATTCTGCCATGCCATCTATTCCACCAATCTCCTCATCTGAAAAATTTTGTTTCCAGTTAATACAAACAGTCAAAATACACATGGCCAATATAGTACCTGCTAATAATGCAAAACAGAGAAATGACAGACTGCAGGACCAGGCAAAGGGTCAATCAACCAGTGGCACAGAGATTAAGTAAAATGAAGTAATAGGACCAAACACTTCATCTTCTATATTTAAATTTAACTTCCTGTTGCCAATTTACAACAGTGATATCTAAATTATAATTACCCCTGTACCCATACACTGAACCTCCACTAACTTGATGTTGTTAGAGCTCTGTGTTGATTGAATTACAGTATCACAAAATATTCAATTATCTGAATATATTAAATTTACCACACAATTCTTGATATTTAAAAACTTACTGTGCCTCACAATAAAAAAAAAGTTCGGGTTGTTTTCAGTACAGGTGTTTAGATGTACTGTATACGTACTGTATACTCAGCAAACACACGTTCCTGTATTTTCAAATTAATATGAATACAGTACACGTACTGTAAAGGTACACCAACCACAAAAAGTCGTGCGACTCTCGGCCCTCTATAGCAAGGGGCGAGTGTCGCAGGTATTATTGCGTTTATCCGCCTCTAAAATTACCCAGTCGACATCCGACAGTACTTGGCAACTCTCCCGGGTTGGTGTGTCCTGAATCCACAGCAAAACCACCAGTGCTCAATGAGCTGCCGTCCTGAGTGGATCTGTGTCAGATTTTCCAAGCGCCCCCTTGTGTGGATTACCAGTGTGCTGTACAGTGATCCCTCGGTTAACGAGCGCCTCGGTTAACGAGATTTCGGTTAACGAGTTACCTCCCATAAGATTCTTAACTTCGGTTAACGAGCAATCCCTCGGTTAACGAGTTTCTTACGAGCCGACCTCAACAAGTTTTCGCTTGCACTTGGCGGTCAACCAGCTGTAGTATTAGTCCGCCAATACAGTAATCGGTTCTAGGGCTTAAATTCCTTACTATTTTAGTAAATATCAAGAAGTTTATACTATTCAATAAATTTAAAAGTTTAATATTAAATTTTTTAGTTATTTTAACAATTATTGAACATAATTGAAGGTAAAGTGACTAGTTTTATGCACGCCATCCAGCCTCTTAACACAGCAAACAAGCGTTAGTCTCTCTCTCTGTTTTCAGTGGAGGTAACATCTTGCTTGAGACTCTTCAACTAAACGCTTTTTTCTGTGTTTGCAAGCAAATTATTGGTCATTTTGAAATTTATTTTACATATTGACAATATATAATGCAGTGCAGTGTTGATTTAAAGAAAATAATCTTGAATTACACCAAGAGAACTAAAATTTATGGGTGAAATGGCGCCATGGGGTGACTTCTCTTCCACCCCAATGCCTTTTCTTCTCCCTTCTCCTCCACCCCGATTCTAATTCCCATCATCATCATCCAGGAGCCTTCTACATACACACCTCAAAGTAAGTGTACTTTCCTTCCTTTTTTGTTGAATTTAGGCAATTTTCGGTGAGCTGGAACCAATTACCCAAAAACCCATTGAAACAATGGTTTCGGTTAACGAGCAACCTGCTGGAACGGATTGTGCTCGTTAACCGAGGGAGCACTGTACTGTGTTTATGCGCCATATTTTTCAGTGATTGTGTTCAGGATGCCTGGGACTAATCTTACAAGAGAGGAGAAGGTTAGAATCCTCACTTTAATCGAAGAAAAGGTGCCTGTGAATGAAATTGTTAGACGTACGGGACGAAACAAAGCCACCATCCACCAGCTCAAGGCCGTTGCACGTGACCTGCCTCCTGTCTCTGTTCCACCAGCCAAACCTCGGTCTGGACGTCCACGCAAGACTAGCAAGACTACAGATGCCCTTCTGTGAAGAGAAGTGCTTAAAACTCCACACATTACAGCAGCCGAGTTGCAAAGGTACCACCCTCACGTCCTGGGAAATGTGGCACAGCATACCATTTAGCATCGCCTGCAAAAGGAACTGCACTTGCCATGTCGTCGCCCAGCAAAAAACCACTTCTCACAGACAAAATGAGGAAGACTCGTCTTGCTTTTGCCAGCAAATATTGACACTGGACACCAGAGCAGTGGGCAAAGGTGATGTGGAGTGACGAAAGTACAGTTCAGTGTGTAAAGATGAGTGGGAACAGGGTACGACGACCAGTGACAGCCAGCAGATTCGACCACCGGTACACCAAGAAAACCGTGAAACATCCGGACCATGTGATGGTGTGGGGGTGCTTCAGTGGTGCTGTGGGTAGAGGAGGCTTGTATTTCCTCCCTCGCAATGTTACAATGAATAGTGACCGGTATATCGAGGTGTTAAATGAGCACCTGCTCACATTTTATGACATTCATGGATGTGACTTGTTTATGCAGGATGATGCACCGTGCCACACATCCAAGAAATCAATGAATTAGCTCAGTGATCATGATATACGAGTGCTTGAGTGGCCTGGCAACTCACCAGACTTAAATCCTATTGAAAATGTCTGGTCATATATGAAACAAAAGCTGAATTCCATGGATACATCGTCCGTGCCAAGACTGAAGGAATCCCTCAGGAAGATGTGGTTAAATGAGTTGGATGTTGATTACTGCAAGAAGCTGCCTGATTCTATGCCAAAACGGCTCCAAATGGTGATTGACAACAAGGGGTGGACCACCAAATACTAATGGGGGGGGGGGTAAGTACAGGCCTATCACTGTTTATATACCATAAAGCATGTGTTTGTCACAAAAAATGTAACCGCACAGGGGTAGGTCGCAAGACTTTTTGCGGCTGGTGTACAGTATACAAAATGCTTTGTGTGATGCAAGTACAGTACTGTACAGTATAAAGGTGGTATAGTAATGTACAGTTTATCTAAGCAATTTGGTATTGTTTAAAATTACTGTGTTAACCAATTCCAAGTTTCGTGGGCATACGTTCCATGTTTTGTGTATGTACAGTAATACCAAAATATTTTTTAATTGCCTCCCATCTGCACCAGTGTATTCATTGTAACACTGTACTGTATTTATTTCAATTTTAAACCCTTAGACAATTTAAAATTTACAAAACAATTGGATTTTTTTTATAGATGCCTCTCCCTTTATAATTTATCTTCAATAATAATACCTATATCAGACTATTCTCAAATACTGTACAAGGTATGAAATTTTGAACATTGAATTAACCATGGTTGAGTGAATTATACAATACAATGTTCACAAGCTTACTAAAATACTCTTCCCATGCTCTCACTTATATGTCTAGAATATTATATATATTCCTCTCTTACATTTGTGTAAGGTAGATAGACAAACAGTGAAACCACAAAGAAGGTAGTAGGGAGGAAGTACAAGTATAGGATAAAGCAAGTATGTATTGAAACTGAAAAGTGGTCATGATAAATAGAAATAGCACACCTACACACATACATTGCTCATATCCCGAACTTGCACATATGTACAGTACAGTATACTGTACTTAGCCTTCAGTATGCAAGAAGGCAGCATGGCTGACAGTGTGCTGGCAGTGCACTGAACTGCCTTCATCTCTCCAACCTCTAAAATTAGAAACCATTTACAGTTGGGTGTACTGTAAGTGTCCATGAATCAAACCAGTGACACTCAGTACAGGAGATAGGCATTGTACAACTGCTCTACTCCTGTATACACTGTACAGTATGTCATTCTTGGCTGAATAATGTGAGGTTGTCCTTGGACAAGGAACTCCTTAATTGTCATCTTGTATAATGAAAAGCCACCTGACAAAGGGTATAGGCCAACAACAAAAAAGCTGGGTCTCCGGTGAGATATATTTGGAGTGATAAGTTGTGATTGCAAGTTCTTAAACCCAAAGATAGCAACTTGACTGAGTGATACTATACAGTATTATAATATGCTTAATGTTAACTAAGATCAATTCAACAACAATATTTTTTACGTTCCCATTTACTCTACTAAACAGTGGTACTTTTCAACCATTTCCATTTAATTTTCTGATTTTTTTTTTAAACTACTTTCCTAACACCACACATACTGAATTTCCTATGGAGGGGTCAGGAAGGCTCTGTAGTGTACTGTACATTATTGTACTGTACTTCACAATTTTTACTTGTACCTTTACTGTATTATTAACTGCAACAGTAATTTATCTCTACATCTACAACAGTATATAGATAACATATAGCAAGTTGTATAAATAACAAACTTGTAATACCTTTGTGTAATAAACACAAAATTTAGCTTCACCAGCCATTACATAAGAGGGATAGTCGTACAGTACTCTAAGTGTTTCACGACTCATTTTTAATCTCACTTGCAAGTGCCTTCTCATTCACTGCCAATCATTCTCTCTAACTGCCATAATAGGTGCATTATGTTTTCCCTACATAACAAAGAGGAGTGCAGCAGTTGCGTGGATACAGCACTTGTCTCCTGTTCCAGGGGTCAGTGGTTCACTTCCTGGGTGCTCCCAGTTCACCCAGCTGTAAATGGGTACCTAAGTTTACAAACTGGGGAAGTGAATACAGTCAAGTGCAGTACTGGCCATGCTGCCTTTTTGTGTACCGAAGGCTTAGAATACATTGTGCTGTATCCACAATGTCCCCAACGGCTGTCATGCCAATAACCCACTTTCACTTTTCACAGATATTACCTTCACTTTATTTACCTGGCATAAAAGAAAGATGAATTGTTCTGAGGAACTTATGCCCTTCTTTCTTTAGGTATTTCAGAGCCTCAAGGTACTGTATCCCAACACACTTCATGTCCTGTGTGCCACGTCCATAGATGTCCCCTTTTTCATCTTTGTGAGCACTGAATGGGTCATACTTCCAATGTTCCTAAAAATCAAAAAAATTTCCAACATCAGATATGTCATTTCCCAAAGTACATTAAAAGCATTGGGGTTCATGGCGGATCTCTGGGGCTCTTCGCCACCTCCAGCCTACTACCACACCATCAATGAAATGGTTTGCCCTGCCCAAACCAAGAGTTTATGACTGATTGCATGAAAAAAACTGCACAAAGATGAAAGTTTGTAATACTATAGAGGTCAGTTAGTTACATGTACGTGGGGATGTACACCAAACAAAGTACAGTAGATATCTTTATGGATGGGACCGATGGATTTCAAAATGAACACCGAAGCTCCTATATCGGTGGGGTTGTGAAGTTCAGTACAAATAAAGAGACATTTCCTATTAATTATCATAACTCATCTTTCTAGTTATTACATCCAAAATAAAAAATAGATAAGTTGCATTATAACTGTTTGAAGCCAGCATACTGTACTCTACATTGTGTGCTTTGTTTGTTCTACACACACTGAGAGAAACAGTTTTGTATCCAACTGGGGAGTGGGGGGAGTTGCCAAATAGGAATACATATAACAAATCATAGTTATCATCATAGTAATTTGCATTTAATGTAAGTGTTGTGCAGTATTCCCTTAAAGCTTGCCTCCCTCAGAAACTTACGGATTGCCATGGAAAATAAATAAAATAAATCTGAGATTGTGCCAGGGATCAAGAGGAGTCAACACAACAGGACAGTACAGAGCACCATATTTCCCAGGTCATAAGATGTACCCTATAATTAGCAAGGTACAGTATATTTTGTATATTTTTTTTATTTTTGCAGATTTAATAGCCTACTGTACTGGCAGAGCCAAATCACTGGCTATGTGCTATCATGTTTCTCACTACCATGGCTCACTATCACTTTATGGACCTATTACCATACATTTGTTGGTATACAGTATTATTAATAAAATTTACTTAATTTAATATAAAAGGATATAATTATACATGTAGGTACCTACGGTATACACATTACAAATACTTATTGGACCCGGGCATGTTCACTAGGAACTGTCTAGTACAGGGATTGTTTACATCCTGTGCACCAGATCAGCTGAAGTTTCAGAGGTATTGTCTTTGCATTGTCATTACAGGGGCGTATCCAGGGGGGAGGTTCCTGGAAAGCCCCCTCGATGCGCACACTGCTCGTCTGAAGTGTCTTTGATCTGCAGTCATCTCCCTCCCTTACCTGTCATATTAAATCTTAATACGGTCAAACACAAGCGGCTTGATTATCAGACATACTTGTGTGCAGAATTTTGGGTCATGTCAGGCCATAAGCTCAGCTTATGACCTCACATGACTCTCAGGACCACTGGCGTCTTCATATAAATGACCAAGTTGTGACCCAGGAGTCAGTCACGAGCCCGTTTCAGCTGTGAACAACACAAGCGCACTCTTACATTATTGTGTTATTCCCGTGCGTGTATAATGTGTTTGCTTTGTTTCTTGTCCACTTTGGATATTTGCAATTTTATGTGCCCAACTGACGTACAGTCAAAGCCGTCAAGCCCTACCAGAGACATTGTCAAGGAGACTCTGGGTACATCATCATCATCATCATCCACCAACACTGAATCTAGTGCAACTGCTAGCATCCCAGTGAACGTAAGATACAGTGTGACGATGTAAACGTCACTTCTGAATCTAAATGCCCACGAAGTAAGTACAAATATCTACAGGGTGTTCTCGCTTAACGTCGGGGTTACGTTCCTGATAACGGGACGTTAAGGGGATCAATTTTCCCCATAAGGAATAGATCAAATACGGGAATTACGTTCCTGAGCCTCCCTTTGTCCCATGAAAAAAGTTATATACAGAAAATTATTGCCATTTCTATAGAGAATATTATATAGAACTACAGTACTAAGTTTGTATTGGTACTTACCGATGGGTGGAGGTGGTAGAGCGAGTGTGTGGTGGGTAGTGGAGCAAAGGAGGGTGGGAGAGGAGGGTGGGGAGACACTGAGAGACTGCAGCTGCCTCCTCCTCCTCTGACTGGGGTTCCTCCGTCGTCGGTTGCTCCGTTGATGTTTGCTCCTCCTCGGCTGCCGGCTGTCGTGAAGAAGCTCCTTCTGCCGTCCCACGACAAAAAAATTAATCCAGTGTTGACTGCTTGGTGCTACTCATCTTCTCCTTATAGATCTCAGTGTAACAACCAAGACTGTCCTCAATGCTGTGTTGAACCTTTGAGCTACGTTCTCTGTTTGGGTTATCATCTAGAAACATTTGCATTGCTTGCTGGAACATGTTCAACGATTCTGTCATCCTCTTAGAAGTTAGCGTTCGTTGAGGTTCTTCTTCATCGTCGTCATCTTCAACGGGACTGTGTCCTGTTAATTGTTGCAGATCTTCGTTGGGTAGCTCTTCTGTATGGGACGCCAGGATGTCCTCAATATCCTCTGATTCCAGCTCATCAAAGCCTGCCTGTCTAGCCAAGCAGAGGATATCCCTGTTCACAGCTGGGACCAAGTCCGTGAATCCCATAAAACTGTTAACGCACAAGGGCCACAGTTTACCCCACACCATTCAGGCAATTTTCTGAAACCTCTTCCCATGCCTTGTCAATGTTGTCAAATGCATGAAGAATGTTGAAGCCATATCAATATTCTCGGATCGTTGGTTTATTTTCTCCGTCTGTAGCCTTGAGCAGCTGGGCCATGGTACAGCGTAAATAAAACGCCTTGAATGCGGCGATGACGTCTTGGTCCACAGGCTACATCAGTGCTGTCATGTTGGGAGGCAGGAATACAACTTTTACACTGTCATGCAAGTCTTCGAGATTGGGAGGATGAGCTGGAGCATTGTCAAGAAGCAGAAGAATTTTGAAGTCAAGGTTCTCCTTGGCACAGTATTCCTTCAGTGCAGGAATGGCGTACACGTTTAACCACTGGCTAAATATGGCGGCAGTTATCCATACCTTTTTGTTTGCCTTGTAAGTGACAGGAAGGTGATCCTTAGAGTAACTTTTCAGGGCCCATGGGTTGGCAGCGCAAGAAATCAGCATAGGCTTAACCTTGAAGTCACCGGCAGCGTTCACGCCAAGCAGCAGTGTCAAGCGGTCTTTTGCCGCTTTAAAACCTGGCACTCTCTTCTCCTCCTTTGAAATATAGGTCCTCTCAGGCATCCTCTTCCAAAAGAGACTAGTGTCATCCACATTAAAGACTTGCTTCGGTGAGTAGCCTCCTTGCTGGATAATCCGTTTGAATTCTGGCGGGAATGTCTCGGCAGCAACCGTATCTGAAATGGCAGCTTCACCAGTCATCTTAATATTGTGGAAGTTATAACGATGCTTAAATCATTAAAACCATCCTCGGCTGGCCGTAAAGATCTTTTCCTTTGATCCTTCACCCTCTTCTACCTTTAAGTTGTCAAACAAGGATCTGGCCTTATGCTGGATAACCATAAGGCTCACAGGGGCATCGCGTTGATTCTGGTCTTCCATCCATATTGCCAGCATCTTTTCCACCTTCTCCATCACAGTGCTTCTAGTACGAGTCGTCTTAGTAGCACTCGGAGAAGAACCACTTCCAGCACTAACCTTAATCTTGTCAGAGTTGGTCCAGATAGTAGGCACTGTTGTAGGGGTTAGACCAAGCATAGCAGCTATGTCCACAGCACGTACCCCTTTTTCAAATCGGGTTAATACATCCATTTTCGTAGCAAGGGTAATGGTCTTACATTGCTTCTTCACTACACTAGCATTAGTAGCACTTGATGGGTGCTTGGAAGCCATTTCAAATGGTTAGAGTACAGTTTTAGGGCAAAAACGCTAAAGCACGCACGAATGATGTCAAGTCGTACCAGACACTAGCTTGGCGTCCCGCGAGTGAGGGCAGCACACCGAGGCTAGAGAGCATTGTGTGGTCAGACAAGAGCGGGTGATGCGCCATAGAAAGTACCTAGTCCGTGACAACACAAAACGACGTGGTATCGGATCACAGGGACGTTAAACGAATTTTTGGTCTCTAAAGTTCAGCGACGTAGTACTGAAACAACGTTAAGCGGGATGACGTTAAGCGAGGACTTACTGTATTAATTATGTGTAAGTCAGACTCGGTTAGAAATTTTTTTTCATTAATGATGTACGAAAATACACAATATAGTTCACCGTACCGACTATTTATATTTTTGTGCTTCTCCAAATCATCATTTACTATGTTGAATATTGAGAAACATTTAGAATCCCAAAAATCTAGTCCTGCTTGTATTTCTACATCCTATAAATGTCACGACGTAAATTTTATCACATTTTTAAAATCTAATATTCTTAATATTCAACACAGTAAATGAGGTTTAAAATTTAATAAGTTGTCAGCAATAATTTGGGAATCCCTAATTATTGCTGACAACTTATTATTTATCATCATTTACTGTGTTGAATATTAAGAATATTAGATTTTAAACAATGTATTCCAAATAATGTATATTCATAACATTTATAGGAAATACAGTAGTCGGGGAAACACAAAATATATGAATACCCGGTACGATGAACTACCCGGTATATCGATGGTTCAGTTTACATTATCTTCATATGTTGTCTATGCGTATCCCTAATTATTGCTCACAATTTCCATCTTTAGTCATTAATCGAGTTATTATAAGGAAGGTTGGAGTTGAAATTTAATGAAAATTTGTGTGACATGAAGTGTCAGACATCAGCATTTACACATCTCCTGCAGCCAGGCGTGATCTCACTGACGACGATAAGCTGAACCTTCTTACCAACTACTTCAGACCAGACTACTCCTACAAGTTTCCTCCCAGACTGGAGTTTGGCAAGCAACAACATTTTCAGTATCGCTGGCTGCCGGAGTACCAGTGGTTAGCTTACAGTGAAGCAACCAACGGTAGCTTTTGCATCCCAAGTGTCCTGTATGGCCAGGCCATTGAGGGGGGCCTGATCAGCCGGCCATTTACACTATTTACCAAGTCCAAAGCCAAGCTAGCTGCCCATGACCTACATGTCAGTCACAAGGGGGCAGTCGCCAAGGCTGCAGACTTTATAGAAGTCATGAAGGGTAGGAGGACCAACGTTATCAGTCAAATGAATGATGCCCTCCGCCAACGCATCGCAAACAACCGAGCTAAGCTGGCTTCAGTCATCAAAACGGTGATCTTCTGTGGACGTCAGAATATTCCCCTTCGAGGTCACAGAGACTGTAGCATAGATGTGGCTGGAGATCCCAGCACTAACCATGGCAACTTCCTTGCTTTGCTGGACTTCAGGGTGGAGGCAGGTGATCACACTCTTCAGAAGCACTTCTCAAGTGGAACTAAGAGTGCCACTTACACATCGGCTAATATTCAGAATGAGCCAATAAACATCTGCGGGCAGGTCATCCGTGACAAGATTGTAAAAAGAGTGAAGGAGCCCAATTTCTACATTTGCATTGCTGATGAGGTGACTGACAATTCCAACAAGGAGCAACTGGCGATGGTCTTGAGGCGAACTTGAACTGTTGTACCAGTATATTATTTTCTATTATTTTAATTTGGAAACAAGGTCTTTCTCTTTTATGTTTGTAGAAATCAAAGTAATTTTAAACGTACGTACATGTTTGTAAGTTATATAATTTTACAGTAAAGGGGAACATATTAATTACAAGACGTTTATAGAATGAGCTGCGTCCCCATGGCTTTCCTGAAAGCTACAACCTGTCTTCTTTTAAAAAGCAGGTGTTCCATCATTCACCTATTGGGCAATGGCTGAACATAATTCATTGTTATGTATTTCTCGTTCCTTGGCAAAATCCAAGGAAAATGGAACTTGTTGACATTATTACAGATGATCATGAATAACTGCAATGAAGTGATAGTTTACACAATACAAAATAAAATGTTAATGAACTCAAAATGTGGTAGTGATAGCATATACAGTAGATAAGTTACTCTTGATGTGTAATAAAATAAAACATGATTTATATGTTGAACTTGCCTTGTACATTTTCCTTTTCAAGTGTCTGTTATGACATTGAATGTTTACTCTCACTATAAATTACACCTCGATTATCTTTTAAAATAACCTAATAGCCATCGCATATGGCTCGCTGCTCTCGCCCTGTACATATTTACATTCGGACAATCTGGGAAACCTCCCATACCAGAATCCTGGGTACACCCCTGCATTACCACAACTATCACTGTGTGGACCCAATGTCCATGTAGTGTTATTTTATGTTTAGGTTTATTCATGTCATTTCATATTTATTATACAGTATTGTCTTGTACATACATAATGTTGTTATACATGTGCATATAGCTATTTATATATGTAATTTGCACAATCTTGGGACTGGCATGAAAAACTCGCGGATTTTGCTTTCTCACGGGGTCCATTTTACCTAACCCCAGCGAGATTTAAGGGAATACTGTACTGTATTCCTGAGATCCTGAAACAAATACAGTACATATCGTTTCCCTTATCCGTTGTTTTAGAAACATACATATGAATCATGTTTCGAAACCAACCATTGGGACCACCAGCCATAGGCACCACCAATCACTGGCATTACTATTCATAAACCATTAGCATTGCCTATCATTTCACCAACACCACAAACCATGATCATTAACAACTAACAGCACCACTAACTAATGTGGTGACTTTTGGTGGTGTTGATGGTGATAGCTTATGGTGGTTGTGGTTTGGTTGCTGTTGCTCATGGCAGTGGTTATTGCTATTGTCGTCGTTGTTGGTGGTGGTGGTGGTGGGTTAATGTTACCCAACTTCTCTTTCCTCACACCATCATCGTTGGGCCACCGGCAGAACTCATGATCTGGCATATATCAAGAAGTTTTCTAAAAACATAGCTCTGTAGATCAAGGTTTATTGGCAGTGTTGTTGGTGTTGTTTAATGGTTGTTGGTCATTGGATTTGAGATCTATTCAACACTTTCTCCTCAAAAAAATCAACAACGATACCCTCATCCTTCCACGCTACGAATACCTTTCTCTACGCCTACGAGTCACTTTCATCCACATATTACTCTTCCACTGAACTTTCTTCACCCATCACTTGATTCTTTCGATTAGATTCATGAATGTGCCAGTCCTTGTCTTGAACTCCAGTGAGGAGGGCGACACAATTCCACACAATTTTAAACACTTAGTTTTAACTTAAATTAGGGCGCACTGCACACTTGACCCAAGCCCCACTCTGATACATATACAGTCCATATGTTTTCTATTGGTGTCTCAGTTCAGTCCTGCAGTTGCAACACATTACAGTACCTAAGCATCATCAAATAAATGCATTCTGGTAATTCATATACTTTACAGATACTTCTATAGATAATTCAAATGAGGTAGAGCCCAAGGATATCAAATTAGCAAGGTTCGAGTGTATTATCATTAGGGCCCGGATAGTTATGCACTAAAAAACCATGAAATATGCATGCAAATATGCACTAAAACAGGGGAAATATGCATTTATATGCACTAAAAATGTCACTTATAAAGCCAAGAATGCAGGTTATACGGAAACAAAATAGTTAATATAAACTAATGTTAATGTTTATTAAGCAATATACGTAATGTATTTAACATATATATGTGAAAGTGCTTCAAAAAATATATATGAACATGCATTTACATTTACATTACATCTCCCAACACACCAAAAATAAGATTCACAATACACCGTTGCTCAACATCAGTGGTTTCATCGAGTGACACCCACATTTTCTTTCCACAAGCCTTTCTCCTTATGATTTTCATCGTGTCCTTGAACAATTGTGAAACAGTTCTTACGTAATGTTGATTCGTCAGGCACCTTTTTTCCAGTATACTGTTCCAGGAATGACTTTAGGCACTTGTTATTCAGTTTATGCAATGGAATATCCGCTGAAACAAATGCCTTGCACAAATCTGCGTTGAACTGGGAACGATCAGGCCCTGACTTACTGGAACATGCAAGAAGTAGTTGTTGCTCCTTTTGTGCACTATTGGACTTAACAGCTTCGAGTCGGATGTGCTTGCTTGTTTTAAGGTGTTGTTGGACTTGAAATTTCTTGCTCGCTGTCACTGGTGCTTCACAATATTTACAAAACAGTACACTTCCATCAGTAGTAAATGCATCAAATTCCTTTACATATGATCTCAGCACTTCATTTTGGTTTCTTTGTACTTTCGGCATTTTCACGAGCAGCAGAGGAGAGTAGCTCCACACAGCAGCACTGCTCCTGACTGACTAACTCACTCGTCCAATGAGTCATGACCAGGTGTGGAAATGACAGATTAAAGCGACGTGACCTCACCTCACTTCACCTAACCACACCTCACCTCACCTCCCAGTACCACGTGTGCTCATTCAGTGGCAACAAAGAGATACTGCCAGATGAATATTTTAACAAAATATGCATTTATATGCAGTTATCTAGGTAATATGCACTTATCATAGAAATCACGCAAAATATGCATTTGCATATGAAATATGCAAATGCATAACTATCCGGGCCCTAATTATCATCATTACATCTACTACTATCATTATAAGTAATACAGTGAACAGTAATATACATACAGGAAACACTGGCACAACATCAGTGTGAGAATTGAGGAGGAGGGAAGGTAGATCCGGATCCTGTCCCACCACTGTCATCAACACGATGGGCTTCCCTGGAACACACTCCACAACCTGGCAGTCAGCACCAAGCTCCTTAGCTTGTCCTTCCAGGAATTTGGTGCAAGATGCTGTGAGGAAGAAAAATATAAATAAGAATGAAATATCTGTATGCATATAATATGCACGCACGCACGCACGCGCACACACACACTACTACTTTGCTGTCACTCGGAATCGAGTATGACGATCATACAGCTATGATAAAATTATTCGAGTTATTAAGGATGTCATCTTCGTTGGTGCGCTCTAAGGTGATTAGAGGCCGATATAGGACCAGCAGTTTGTAGGGGAGACGTCCACTACAAGGGTATTATTTTGGGGTAATTATTCGAATCGTGACCGTCCACTGTTTTTCATTGAAAATGATTTAAAAATACCCAGTTTTCACTTATTTTATTAGAAGATACTGTATTTATGTTGGGAAAAAAATTTAAAAATGGCTGAAATCATGTGCTAACCTGACCTAACCTATATCTTTACTTGCCTATATCTAGAAAACTAAGCATTTGTCCAAGAAAATAAATAGAAGTGAAAGTAATCAATGTAAATAACTGTGTCTAAAATACCGGCCATAAATACAGAACCGTTAATAGTTACAAGTCATATATTAGCCTATTTTAGTTTCGGTCATCCAGGGAATTGGTTAGGTTACAGTAGGTTAATGCTAGGTTAGGTTAGTTTGGATATCTAAATACAGGGATGACCGAAACTAAAAACTTTGGTAAATATTTAATAGTTGCCAGCATTTATATAGGGAGAAAGAGACAAAAAAAATAATAATTTATACTATGGCATTTACGTCGGAAATGTATATGTTTTCGAGTATTTTAACATAAATTACCAATATTACTTGTTGACAGTTGGCAGGGCTTTGAGGTAGAGGGTAAATGTGGGGTAAAATACTAACAAAAAACTAAAATTTTGAAACCTGGCCTAACGTTTCCTAACCTTTAAAACTTCAAAACCTATAAAGTTTACCTTATTCCTGTTTTCGGTGTAGTAAGGTCATAGTGTTGTTCCCGGTGCTCAGGTGAGGATGGGGTCAATTTATGCATAAACTCTTAAGTGATTCTTTACATTTTTACAAGTTAGGAAACGTTAGGTAAGGTTTTCAAAGGTTTGTTTTGTGTTATTTTACCCCACATTGACCTTCAACTTCAAAGCCCTGCGCACTTCGCTAGCAGTGTTCACAAATTACCAAAATTATTTTTACATCACAACCCACAAATGTGCAAATGAACACCAGAAGTCATCTTACCATAGTCTGGGTTGGGCTGAACAGTTTTTATCCTGATGTAATTACGGAAGTTGGTCACAGCAGGATGTTCTATCTGCGCCATGGCTCACGTGAAACTGACTGCAGTAAGGTAGGTATACCAGGTAGCCTCACTCAAGGTAGGTAGATACCAGGTAGCCTCACTCAAGGTAGGTAGATACCAGGTAGCCTCACTTCCATAGGCTCGACGCTAATGAAAATAAATTTGAAATTTTTATTTACGTATTTTTGAAGGCTTATGGTGGTATTAAGAGTTGTACAATAAATGTATGGAATGGAGATTTTTTGTTTTATTATAATTGGAGCCACAGATTAAATATATAAACTAAATATAAATATCTTTCTTGTGACGCTTGAGACCGATGGATTCAATCCAACGTAGCTGATTGGCTCGCGATGACATCACTTATTAAGCTCCGCCCACTTCATTACATCAGACTGTAGTGGAATTCTCCCCTACAAACACTGTTTGTCGCTGCCTAGCCGACCCCAGCAATTCCCTAGTGTATGCCTCGTGGTCTAGGTCAACCAGCGCCGCCATACACCACGGAGCGGGGGTCAACTGCTAAGCCACGCCTACCCCCGCTATTTAAGACCTGACCTCGTGGTGATCTGCCTCTCTTTCCACCTACAGCCGCAGCCAGCAACACCTCCTCCGCCTCTGCCTGGCGGCCCTCGTTCCTCCTCCGCCTCTGCCTGGCGGCCCTCGTTCCTCCTCCGCCTGCCTGGCGGTCCTCTCTCCCGCCGGCGAGCATGGCGACCCACAAGCTATCCTCCTTTGAGCACCCTCACCAACCAGCTCTCTCTACATTAACCAAGCTGCATTGTACATCCAATACAATATGTATATAGAGAGCACATTGTGAGTTTCCTTTCTCCATCCCATCCTGAGTGTGAACCAAACATCTTGAACCCCACAAGACCATAGAAGCGGGATATTTACAAGTGAAAGTGGAGTGTTTTTCTTTTATAACAATGATTTATTGCGCTGTAGCCACCTGCTAGTATAATTTGATTAGAGAAAGAATCTATACAGATAATAATACCACAATATTACAAACGCATGAAGTTGTGGGGTATGGGATGTTTGGTTCACACTCAGGATGGAATGGAGAAAGGAAACTCACAATGTGCTCTCTGTATACATGTTGTATTGGATGTACAATGCAGCTTGGTTAATGCAGAGAGAGCTGGTTGGTGAGGGTGCTCAAAGGAGGATAGCTTGTGGGTCGCCATGCTCGCCGGCGGGAGCGAGGGCCGCCAGGCAGCGGCGGAGGAGGAGGTGTAGCTTGCTGCGGCTGTAGCTAGAAGAGAGGTAGGTCACCACGAGGTCAGGTCTTATATAGCGGAGGTAGGCGTGGCTTAATAGTTGACCTCCGTCATGTAAGGCGGCGCTGGTTGACCTAGACCACGAGGCATACACTGGGGAATTCGCGGGGTCGGCTACTCAGCGACAAACAGCGTTTGTAGGGGAGGGATTCACTACAATCTCACTAATATCATCCAAACAACATCTCCTGAAAATTTGATGCAATTCCATAACATCCTTCTCGGGTAAATATTCAGAAAGTGTCACCAGGGACCTGAATATTGAGTCATATATGGTTAGATAGAGAAAAGAAATAATAAAAAATATTTCTTCTGTAACGTTTCCGTCGGAAATTTATAGTTTTCGAGATAATTGAAATTTTTATTTTCTAATATTTAGCCAATCAGTGGGAGTATTTTTTTTACGTCAGAGTCGTGTGTGCAAATCAGCGTAAGTGTTTATGTGACGCAATACTCGAGCACCAATGAGCATAACTTTCAATTCCTGATCAGTTTCAAGATGGATACTGTGTGCGAAGGCTGTACATTGGCTGACTGGCACGTTATTCACCGTGTTTTGGAGAATGATGCAGCAGCCATTGATATTTTTAGGGCTCACTGTGTTCTCGCATCATCTTTAAAGTGTTGAAAATGTAAATCTGAGTGTCAGTATCGTGCAGAACGCTATACATGGTACTGTAATAGAAGACAGACACAAGCAAAGCCTCACGTAAGGTAAGTTATATCTTCACTCTGCCTCATTTCTGACAACAATGAATGATATATTTGTATTTAACATGATGAATTACACTAGGAAACCCTATTTTTAATATTCAGGTCCCTCGTGACACTTTATGAATATTAACCCCTTCTGGTGTTAACCGTCTCCTGCGACATTACTATATTTTGTACTTTTGAAAATGAGCCTTGGTTCATTAGTTTTACTCACATCCTCTATACATGTAGATGCTTTTCAAAATATGGTTTAAACTTGTCACGCTTACTAAATATATCTACTTACCTTGGTATTTTTATAGTAGTTCACACATCCCTACCCCAAATTTTTTATCATATTCGAAAAAGACGTCTAATTTTAAGATAATTGTCTTCGATTACATTACCGTCGGAAACGTATAATAACGCAGATAGCGCATGCCAAATCTTTCTCTATTTAATTCCACTAGTCCTCAGCCATTATCGTCTACCCAACCCCCCACTCAGAGTGTTCCCTTCTTAAATCGTCATGTGCATGCGTTCCAGTACACGTCACACGGCCAATCAAGAGCGTTCTTTTTTTTTGCCACCAATTAAAATGAATTGTGGTTTCTGCTATTAGAATTCACGGTATTTTTTGCCCAATCAAATTCGATTGTGATTTTGGGACTCTTATGCTTTGAAATTCAAATTAATTTCCGACCATGGAAGTCTGTGATGGGTGTCACTTCCATTATATAAATTTAATTGCGCATTTAGGGGAAAAACGAACAAGCAACAGCATTTTTTAGATCCCATGGGTTTCTCCCGACCTCAGTAAAGATTCTAATTCGGAATAAGGTAAGAAATAACAGTGATTCCCTCATATGGCGAGAGTCTGGTTACGTAAAAACACCGTGAGTTAGGTCAGGTCAGGTTGGGATAGGTTAGGTTAGATTAGGTCAAGTTATGATAGGTCAGGTCAGGATAGGATTGGATGGGTTGGGTTAGGTTAGGTGATCAAAACAAGGTTAGGTTTATATGTTTTTCTCGGGTTTTATGGTGTATTTTTGTATTCACTTGGCCATGATTTTTGTCGGAAAACGCCCCACCCCGGTTCCCAACATGATCCCCAATTTTGTTGGGGGTAGAAGGGGGCGATAACTAAAAAACAGGCAACTTCCGACGGAAATCAAGGTTAGAACCAATCAAAACACACACAAATACACTAGAAAAACATAGTTTTGACTTTTCTAACAAAGTTGTGTGAACTACTATAAATTTACCCTTACCTTTTCTTGTCCTTTGAGAAGTATTGAAACCTAGGTTCTTTATTGTTGTTTTTATTTGTGCCGCACACAACACACACCGGTGAAGCCCATTTCTTCTCGCCAAGTTTGTGCCACTGTCATGTCAGTTACCATGCCCAGCCTAGCCCAGAGGTCGAGTCAAAACAAACAGCCGACACAAATTTTCCCGCCATTTAATCAGTGCCATCTAGTGACCAGCAGGCACACGCCCTACTGGGAGGGGGGACCTACATTACGTCGCTCAAGACTCGCTTTCTTCTATATACTTTCCTTGGTAAAAAAGATAAACAAAAGCACAAGTTGCCATAAAAGATAAACAAAAGCACAAGTTGCCAACTTGCCTAACCTATTGGGAGGATAGCGCTAGATTGCACTTAAACAGTGCTACATGTGAGTATGCTACATTTTCTCAAGGTATCTAGTTAAGTTTAGCTAAAACGTTTAGTACAACACATATGGTTATATAATTTTCTTTACCACACAGTAGCTCCCTTTAGTCTAGACGGCGAGGCTTGTCAGAGTAACTTGATGCGAGTCTAGACGGTTAGGCTTGTCAGTTGTAGGGGAGAGTATCCACTACAGTACGACCTAGGTGCTTCTTTTTACACTTCATGACATTAAATCTTAATACTATAGTAATTTCTTCGAGCACACTTTAAATTGGCAGAGATTTTCGGAAGACAGTATTAATGCACCCCCGCGTCACCACACCTGCCCTGGACTAAGGAGCATGCCACATGTGTTGGTAATCTTTTTTTTTTCACTGTTAGCATTTCACATAATGCCGTCAATATTCTTCTTGTTTACGTGTTACGGTTATATATTGTTTTCATAACAATCCATTTAATGCGCACCATGCACAACAAAATATGCTTTCTTAAATAAAATTGATGATAGTAATGGTAGTTATTGCTAAAAAGAACACCTGACAAACCTTTGAAACCTTACCTAACCCACAAACACCGTGAAACTATAAAACGCTTACCTTACTCGTATTTTCGGTGTTTAGTATGTGTTGATGCAGTTGAAGGTGTTCAGATTAGGAGGGGGATTCATGGACTCGAAAGCTATTTGAACCTTTTTATAGGTTAGGTAATGTTTTCTAAGGTTTGTTTGGTGTTCTTTTCAGTAATTTACCCCACATTTTCCCCCCCACTTCAAAGCCCTGCCTACTTTGAACAATCAATATTGATGGTAATTAGGGGTCTTAGTAGATAAAATACTGTACTCGAAATACATACATTTGCCCCGGAAACATAATAGAATAAAGCATTTTTCTTTTTTATGCTCTTTCTACCTATACTGTATAAATAAAGATATTTAAATCTATGTTTGATTTAAAATGAATCTTTACCTATTATTCCAAGAGTTTACAATTCTCATTCCAAAAAAGTTTGCCCTCGTAATATTCTGGACTTGTGGCTTCTTTAACCATGAGTTGTGACCCTGCAGTGGATTTCTCCCCTACAAACGCTGTTTGTCGCTGAGTAGCCGACCCCGCGAATTCCCCAGTGTATGCCTTGTGGTCTGGGTCAACCAGCGCCGCCGTACATCACGGAGGTCAACTACTAAGCCACGCCTACCCCCGCTATTTAAGACCTGACCTCGTGGTGACCTCTCTCTTCTTCTAGCTACAGCCGCAGCAAGCTACACCTCCTCCTCCCCCGCTGCCTGGCGGCCCTCGCTCCCGCCGGTGAGCATGGCGACCCACAAGCTGTCCTCCTCTGAGCATCCTCACCAACCAGCTCTCTCTACATCACGCTTGTAACCACGCTGCCACTTCCCAGCACCAAGCTGCATTGTACATCCAATATAACATGTATACAGAGAGCACATTGTGAGTTTCCTTTCTCCAACCATCCCAAGTGTGAACCCAAACATAACGTACCCCACAACCCTTTGTGGGGCCGGCGTCTACCGGCTCCAGGTATAGACATAACCTACCCGCCCCCAGGTCGACTCAGGGTGTTTAATTATCACGAGAAATAAGCTGGGAGTTCTAATCTTCAAGTAATCCTATTAAACTAATCAAGATAAGTTTACTACAACTTAAATAATCTCTTGGGAAAAAATAAACAATATTATATCTTTAAGTAACGGGAACCTATATTAACTTAATGTAGCGTAATCTATTTCGTAACTAAATTTGAAGTAAAATAAAACTAAATTCAACATTTATCAACTGATCCTTGCAATACTAAACTAACTCCATCTTATGAAAGTTGTTCGGTTACCACAAGCAGTTTGATCAGAATCAACCTAATCTACCTTTTGTTCACCATCTGAAACCTTCACAAGTTTCTGAGGGTCCAGCTGTAGTAGATTGATTCCCTGTTGTTAATGTTTGAGGACGACAAGTATATAGGGTTTTTTCTAATGTTAAGTTCAGATTAAAACAAGATGGTTTTCATCTATGACACTTGGCGCATTTTACCCAAAACTGAGATTTTCGGTAGTCAAAAATCAGAAAACTACAGTATGGGGGTCCCCGACTTACTAATGCCTGCCGATACGAACGGGGTTATACTCGAAATTTACAGTATTTTATTTACCTGATGACTTATAATTTACTTTCATTTACTCTATTTTGTCATTCTATTTCTTCTTTTGTCGTAAATTAAGTGATTTTAGATGAATATAAGGACTTAGGCTATTATATAGAGGGATTTTAAACATTGTTCCGTATGGTATGCACATAGCATGTGTTCCAACTTACGTAGAAATCCGACTTGAGAGCATCCTCAGGCACGGAACCTGTTTGTAACCCGGGGACCCCCTGTACTAGAAATGCTATTTTTGCATTTGTTGCCACCAAATGAATCTAATGATTTTTCTTTGCAAACAATAGTTTAGACAATTCTACATCACTTTTCTTCCATGATGTTTCCCCCACAAACGACTGAGAACCGAGATATTTAATATGCCAGGGTCCGTGAAGCGGAGCTTAATAGTAATGCAAGATTATTTTATGGTGGGATTAGCCCAACCGGGCACAGGTCACCGACCCACATCGGGTTCTGGGAGGTGAAAAAATAAATAAATTGAGCCATAAATAAATACAGAAATTGAAAAATTAAACAAATCAAGAGTGAGAAATGATATACTGTACAGTATACACTGTATGTTGCATTGTCAGAGTAGGAGAAACAATTGAGACCCTACAATTGTGTAAATAAGGCAGAAAGTCAGTCAGTTCAACAACCTGAGACTTGTTCACAATTTTTGTGATGCCAAATGGAGGTCTGTTCATAAACTACGAAAAAATTTAATAAAAGGAGGGCGGTAGGGTATTGTTGGAGTAGGAAGGGATGTTATTGTTCATGTTGAAAGGGAGGGTACTATTGGTGTACAAAGTGAGGTTACTGTTGGTGTAGAGAGGGAGGTTACTGTTGGTGAAGGAAGGGAAGGTATTATTATTCTAGGAAGGGTGACAGGGAGGGAGTGAGGAAGGAAGGTGTTGAGCTCCTTGGAATGCCAACTTGTGAACTAACCTTTATCTAGGCTAACAAATACTAACAAGAGAGTTTTCAAGGTTTATTACAAATGCTGGCAATGTAATATTACAGTTTAAACTAGCACTGGTAGTAACTGAAAATATGAATTCTGCACCATAATGCAACAAAATCTTACATACAATCTAGGTAGCAACAGTGAATAAATATCAAATACTATTTACATGTCTATATTCATTATGATTGCACTTCCAGGCTTTGTTGTGAAGTGTCATTAGAAATTAAACTGATTACAATAAACTTTAAGGAACAAATACATACTGGTTTGTTTTCTGGATATTTAGGTAATTAGGCAATACTGAAAGACTTCCTTGTAACTGAATAATTACATTCCTATAGTACACAGGAATATATTATCTCTAGACGAATTTCATGTACTCTTGGATTACAGCTCCAATTCAAAACTTAGTGAAAAAAACCCAGAAAATCTGACCCAGACCAACCAACACAACTTGAGCTCTCAGTATAATGAGCTTACTCATGTACACTACTAAAACAGCAATTGATGAGTCTGTATGAATGGATCATTGGCTTAACACTAAGACAACCACTATCCACTGTCAGGAAAGTTTCTGCTGCATTCATGGAAAAGCTGACTAGATCCTGAATCTACTTTATCATAAAATAACATGTCAATAAAAAATATAGAAAAAAACACATAAAACTGAACAGCTCCCTGAAAACAAAAAGTATGACAAGTTACTGGCATTTACTATTTGATTTCCTGTAACATGACCAAGTAGCTAAATGCCTGGAAAGATTGAGTTATTTACATGTTGGAACTAATGTCATCACTGCTACTGTATCATCTTATTTCATGCTATATCTTTGACTTAAAAAATACAAGAGCATTAGATTTACTAATGTATTCATGATAATCAAGATTTTTCTAATATTTGGTGTGTAGCAATGGATTAAACTCTTTAATTTCACTTGCATCTATGCACGTAACGTGACACACTATACCCTACGAGCAGTAGCTCATCCAGTGACCATTTATTTCCATACAAGTCATGCAGAAGAAAGAGGTCTCTAAAGATGTGTACAGGTACACTTGAGGTTACTGTGGATATGTATTGCACTGCATTACTCAAGTACGGGCCTAAAGTAATACAAATCTTTATTATTAATCCAAACAACTTGTTATATTACTCGAGTATGTCTGAGGAAACTACTTTGGTGCTTTATTCAATTTCCATCTTCAGTTTCATTACAGTAGAAGCAGCAAGATTATATCCTATATATGAGTGCATGTACAACGGAGAATATATATGAATCACAAGTGATAAGGATCATACAAAATTTCAAATTTATGACAGTTTTTGCTGCATTTGGGTAACTTTTGTTGCCATATATTTCTAATGATAATTCTATACTCACTGCCTACATGCTAAAAGCAGTTGTCTCTAACTATTCACAAACCTTTATAAAAGGTCTACCATAATATAAAATAGATCGTGTGTGAATTGATGACACCTCACATAAGTCAAAATTTCGTTGTTAGACGTAAAGGTACCCAACTAAAGACTTTGACCTACCACAAACACACTTGAGACAATACACTCACCCACACCATACACTCCTAACATTATTACTCATATGATGGAATGGTAATGGTCTAAAATCTTAACTATTCAATACTTTGAAGAAGGGTTTGATACCCAAGTGGACATCTCCTATAAGACAAAAATAAAGAAAAATTGACAAACCATATAGGATTTACTGTGGGATATCTTATTATTGTTAAATTGGTAGAAAAAACTTTTCCAAGAAAATAATATTAAGTTGATTATTCTTATACTGTACTTCGATTCATTTAAGTATTGATAATTATTATAAACTGAAGAATTAGATGTTTAGAATTGAGACTTAAAACTTAGCTTTGGAAAATTTATGAAACTTCTGCCAACAAAACAACTGTTAGAACAGTACTGTATAACAAAAATATACCATACTAACCCTCACTTTGGTGTATTTTAGCATCCCTCATATTCATAGCCATGTATTTGCATTTCAGCTTCTCTCACATTTAGTCCGATGTATTTTAAATCCTCCCACAGTCATTCTAATACATTTTGGCTTCTCATGCTGGTATACAGTATTTTTACTTTTCTCACTCACACACAGAAGTATTTTGAAAACATATAGAGTCAACCCTGAGTTAACATTCATGCATCAGTAAAGGGTACACATAATCACCCTGTATTTCCATCTCTTACATAATACATGACTGTCTTGTCAATGGTTAACAGGAAAATGGCTATGGAGAAGTTCCGCAGTAATTTTATATTGTTCATAAACAAAGTTTGACTGTATCCTGCCTCACTCAACACATTAATATACCCAACAGAAGAAATCTGCATCATATAATCAGTTGGGTATTACAACAGACACTGAACCATTCATGAGTAATAAAATCCCTCAATACTTTTGCTTAACAAAGTATACTGTACTGTATAACCAGACTGTACAGTTTTATTAAATTATGTAACATATTAGACGTTATACAGCACAAACATTAACATCTGCATTAAATAGTGCTCTGTTCATAGAAGCTATATATTTCATATGAACTATACGCAGATCATGTTTGAGTAAAGATGGGTTTATGTACTGTATTGCTGCCAAGTTAAAACAAACAACTCCATGGAATCTTGGTTTGTCAAGGAGAAACTTTATACATAAAACACAGCATTTTAAGTCCTGTAAAATCCTAGGAGGAAGTTTTAAAGACCGTATTATCCACACTACTTTGATACCACAGTAAAGTCTTTGCTTACCAACATCTCATCAACCAGGGATATCTTAACCAAAACTATGAATTTCTGCCACAGAAGATTTGACTCATTTTGGGTTATGAAAGACAACTCTTGACCAATAAAATCTAAATAACTGTATCCTGGGTATTTCAATCATTGGCACATTTTCAATTTCATTAATACACAGGAACACCAACAATACTTAATGGACTTAACTTCCAAGCACTGTTTTTCAGGGTTACAGTATTCTGTTGTTGGTGGCAGAAGGTAGATTTAATTTATTCACTGTGTAAAAGCTCTTTAGAATTTGAAAATATATTAACCCAAAAATCTTCATAACCATACAATTTATGACATTCCTATAGGAGACTGGTACTCACAACATTCTATAAAAAAAAATTCATGATCTATAGCTATCAATTTCACTGATAAAGCGAGAAAGTCGTTCTTCCGAGTCATACTCTTGTGTAAGATACAAGAGACGTACACTGTCATGTGTGTAACTTTCCACTACTGCTTCTGTCTCAAAGAACTTTACAGCATTTCGTATGGGATCTACACACATACTCTCACCTGAGGAGAAAGTAAATACTTTCATTAGTGTTTATTTAAATACATAAGAATAATAAGTTTATGAACTTTAAATTCTTACTTAAAGGAGTTCCATTGCAGCACGTCAAGTACTCAATGGTAAATTAAAATGGCATCAAATGAAGCTAACAGACCATGAAGGAATAGAAAAAAAAGAAGGAAATTAATTATACACACAAAATAGTCTCATAAAAATGCAGCAAGACTGCCCAGGTTTGCCAATCAAAAATGGCATATGTATGCTGGCCTTACACTAAAAAATATCATCATGCTCTAGGGGATTAAGAAATGGGAGGCACAAAATGGACTCTACTCCCCTCCCCCATTTTGATGCTTACAAAGTTTGCCACATGTTCATCCCTAGGGTACACAACTTGAAGGGTGAAAATTGTATTACTAATCAGATGTACAAGCGATTTCTTCCCACACTGAAGGAACTGGTAGATGTATATAAACTATATGAGCATAAAGAGAATTGATCCATCTGCATCCCATACTTCTGGAATGGAAAATGGAAGATGTTCTGAAGCTCAGTAATAACGAAATAACTAGAACAAATGGCTTTAAATTAGATAAATTCCGATTCAGAAAGGATATAGGCAAGCACTGGTTTGGTAATAGAGTTGTGGATATGTGGAATAGGCTACCGAGTGCTATAGTAGGATCGGGGACGCTAGGGAGCTTCAAGACGAAGTTGGATAGGCACATGGAAGTGCTGGGATGGGTGTGAAAGGGATCTGCCCTGTATGGGCCAGTCGGCCTCCTGCAGTATCCCACTTTCTTATGTTCTTATGTTCCTTGTTTCAAAAGATTATTGAAGGGCAGCCTTCCAGAAGCGTCTTATCACCCCAAAAATCAATGTGTGATTTATGGGCGAAAACTGTAGCCAAAAGTGTTCTTAGTCTGATGGTATATTGCATAAGACCATAAAGGGGCTGTGAAACCTTCAAAGTTTTAAACCCTTATGCCTGTCTAGCCAAGTGCCAATCAGTGGGATCACAACCACATGACTATGCTCAGCCAATCACTACACTGCACCATCCCCTAAAGCCACATTAGACAATCAAAAGGCTTGTGGGGCTGTGTCTCTTAACACCCCATTTATTTAGATCTTTGTTTCTGACAACTTGATGCCCCCGGAAGGTTGCATGAATATGTGAAAATTAATCTTGATTTAGAATGCAGCATAAAGATGCAAGAAACTGATTTATAATGATTAAAAAATAATAATAATAAAAAAATATATATTTTCAGACACTGACAATCCAAGAATAAAATGCCAACATACCATATCTTAGAGTGCCTTTCTCCACAAGAGCTGCAATGTGATTTTGTGTTTTCTGAATAAACTCCTTGTCAGGCACCTGTCTGGTGACCAGCATACGAAGACTGCATGCAGTGCAGTAGTAGGCATCTAACATGGGGGCAAGCATTGTTGTCCAAGCCCCTATGACCTCCAATGAGGAGGTGGATGGTACTACTTTGTAACACTGCGAGAAGGTCAGATCATCCTCATCAGAGTCTTCTGACCATCTGTTATCTACCTTCTGCAAATATCAGTAGCATTATTTTTTAACAAAAACTAGCAATTTCTTCCAATAAAAATAATTATTAAAAAATGTCTCTAATTACTTTAACCTGAGAAAAGTTCAGTTCAACAATGTAATACAATTTGTAGTTTATGCTCAAATTTTATTTTTTAGTATCTATGGAATAAGTTCATGAAAAGTGTTGACTAAACATTATGGTAATAGTACATTTGTACAAAGCCAACACACTTCACTTCACTGTCTACATACATACTTCCTCACACTATATTATCTCATGTAGCTACTGACTTCTGCCAAAATTTTATACATATTAACCACCTTAAGTCAATTAATCAAGGTGCCAGCCTCACACTGAGGATTGATGACCCTGGCACATTGCTCCACATTTCTTTGGGTTATCTTCCACAATCCTCCGAGATATTGTATCTCTCTGAGAACTCAACTTGTAATTTCATTCATCCATCAGTCTGACTTTTCTAGCCCTCTTACTCTCAGTACAACTTAGTTATCCCAACACCCTCAAGTGTTAAACTGCTTGTTGTAAAATACTGCATAATACCAAAATACAAATCAAAATAGGTAAAAGTAAACCGCAGGTGACCCCTAAGATGCCAAAGGATAAACAAATTGTGGATATTTATGGATAGATGTATTAATAAATTCATGTAAATGCCAGCATTTATCACTGGGTGTCAACTGGTAAAGTAGAAAAATTTATGTACAGTATTAAAGATAATATAGTGAATAGTGCTTAACCTAAAATAGCAATAACAACTATGTAAAGTACCCCAGCATCCTGCAGGAGACCCATGTCGACGAGACTGTCCACAGACTGATGGAGTTTAGCGTCCAGGCTGGCACACGGTGGTGCGAGCAGGAACTCGTGCTGTAGCATTCCAGAAAGGCCAAGAGCTCGTTTGATCAACTGCAACAAAATAACTTATTAGCTACAGTATTGTATAACTGTATTCACTAATATGAGCAATGTCTCCCCGTCTATGGTACCTTATTTCACATGACTGCAGGAATTCCAGGTACAATCTCCAATAACTATACAGTACAATATTTGAGAGCTGATTAATTTTCCCAGATTTTAATTTGTTTCCAATTATTCAGGAAAAAATCTGGTTAGCTGTGATGACAATATGAATTTTGTTGTTGATTGATGGTCACTTGTGGCAAGAAAGCACATGACTCAATGCTGACTGGTAAATCAGCGATGGTATAACATACTTTGACTGGCTTCTTCTCTCCTTTCAGTGTCTCATGAGTCTTTCCTGTTCTTTTTTTCACTTAAAAGATCACAGTACTATCCTAACTTTCTTTTAGTAAATTTTGACAGAAATAACAATTTAAGTATAATATACACCATACCATACCCACAATAAAAAATAACCCATCTATATATCCCACCATAACCATTAGGGACTTCATCTTTCCAAAAACTCCAAACACATCACCAGATAATCCATGTCTCAAAAACCAGTCTCTCCAGGGAAGCGAGGGTGTACTTTTACAGACAATGTATGGTCATCAACCTTTTGCTAAGCCATTATCAATTCAATACCAAATGCACCTAAAATCCTCTCTGTCAACAATGCAATACTTCCTGACAAACTGCTACAAATTTTCTCACTACATATCCAACATTTACCAATACAAATAATCCATCAAACTAACTTCAACAAAATGTCTCTAAGAGTGAATTGTGGTTGTTGCCAAAATCCCAATGTTCATCTGCTAAACATCCACATGAAACAGGGGATACATCACCAATTGAATTTAAATGTAAAATACTTTTCCTGCATTGTATAAATGTTCCTAGTACAGTACTGTACATACCTTCTCTCTGTCAATGAGGCAGTTAGGTGAGCAATCCTTGTAGCTCCACAAATCACAATCTATCAGTGGCAATAAGCTGGTTGCTGTAAAAGGAAATTACAATATTAAAATCTGAAATAATATTTATCACAGTTTTCTCACATGCAAACTCATTTTTGCCATAATACAAGTCAGTGGGAATAAAAAAAAAGCAGCACAGATTTCCTCCTTATTTCCAGTTACAATACTTCACTTTTTATGTTGCCAGATGTGTTGTGTAGGTATTCTGTAAAGGTATCTATTTATCTATGAACAAAGCCATTAAGAAATGTACTGCATTTAAAGTAAAATACCATATCCAGAAATAATTTCCATTTCACACAAGCAATAAACAAGAAACAATATCTAAAACATTAGTGAGGACTTGCAGTTTGGCTAATATAGTTTAAAATAAAAACAGCAAACACAACAGAAACATATCTTTGGAAAAACAATAGAATAAAATAAAAGAAAAACGAATAAGATCTGATGGTTTTGATTGCTCGAGTGGAGTCTGAGAATACATACAGTACCGTGGCACTATTACTGTCATCAGTAAATTAGAAATGCTGTGTAGCTAAATAAGTATTCTCATCTTATTAGTTGAAGATAAAATAATCCCTTACAGTGTTTCTGCAACAGTACATCACTGGGCAACTGGGGCCAAACATTTACAAGATAAAATTAGTGTACCATATTTACGGCATTTAAAGTGCAGTTTTTTATGAAAAATGGTAATAAAATATAACCCTGAGTTCTATATGTGAAGTTGTAGTCTTCTGTAGGCTAATGAATCCCCCCCAGCTGTTGTCTCCATTTGGCTAAATTCTATCTAGCCCAACTCCAGAATAAAAATTATTACTTTTACTTAATTAAAAAAGGAATTATTGTTAATGTAAAAGCTGCATACATAACTATTGATGAAGATAGCCCGAGACGATTAGTGTCTGTATGGCATCCAACTCTTCAGAGCTAAGCAGCAACTGTACCTGAACTCTTACAAGTATCCTCATTTTCACCATCAGCAGCAGAAATATATATCAACAGATACACACAGAATATCTCTTAATATAAAACCAACTCTAATACACTTACCAACAATAGCATCAACAGCAAACACAGGAAGAAGAGCACTGGCATAATAGTTGAGTTCGATAACATTGGGAAGGAGAGTGATTGGTTCTATTAAGAAATCAGCTTCTTCAGAGCTGGCCTTATCACTTCCCTGAGTTTGTTCTATTCTGACCAATCCAGCGCCAAGTAGCTTAACCTGCAACACATTACACTGCGAGTTAGACGGTGCTTGTCATTTCTGTCAATAGCAAATGGCTCCATGAAACTGAAGCCAAAATCCTTTTGTTATTTGTGAATACAGTAAGTCCTCGCAGAACATCGCCCCACTAAACGTTGTTCCAGTACTACGTCGCTACTCTTTAGATGACCTGTGCCCGGGTGGGCAATTCCCCGTAATAAAAGATACCAATTATTCGTTTAATGTCCCAACGACTCAATTTAACATAGTTTTTGCATCGTCACGGACTACTTTTTACGGAGCATCACCCTCTCTCGTCTGGCCGCGCTACGCTCTCCCAGCTCAGCGCGCTACCTTTCACTAACGGAACGTTACAGCATCCCCAAGTGACGCCACGCCAGTCACTGTTACACTTCCACATCATTTGTGCGGGCTTGAGTGTTTTTGCTCTAAATACTGTACAGTACTCTAACCATTCGAAATGGTTTCCAAGCGCCCATCAAGTGCTACTGAAGTAACATAAGACCATTAGCCTTGCTATGAAAATGGAGGTCATAAACCGGGAGGAGCCACCCTCCTCCTCCGCTCCACTACCCACTTGCTCCACCACCTCCATCCATATATATATATATATATATATATATATATATATATATATATATATATACACACACACACACACACACAGTCGGCCCTTAACATTCGCGGGGGTTAGGTAACAGAGATACCCGTGAATGTTAAAAATCCGTGTACTATTGCTGCCCCCCACCCCCCTAAAAAATCCCTGGCCCCCCCATGTCCTTATTTACCGTATATACCTGTGTGTAGTTCGAGTTTTTAAGACCAAATTATTTGGCAAAAATTGGGGGTCGACCTCTAAACGGGTAATAGTTTCGTTAGGTTGAAAAATATTTACCAGTAACTACCAGTAAACAATGGAAACGATGCACCAACACACCACCAGCTGTGAGTGTCGGTACAGTTGCCAGGGCAGATCTCTTGCGAGCCCAAAGTAGCCAAATCCATGGTATGGTAGCACAGGACGATGTTAATTAAATTTGAAACAAGAGAAAACTACGATACTGGATTTTCATTAAAATATTACATCACAAGTATATTTTACCTTAACTGTGACTGAATGAATATATTCTCGGAAATTAATATGGAAATGTAATATTTTTGCTGGAATGACGTACATATTATAGTGGGAAGTGGGATAAAATCATGACGAAAGACTTTCGCTTTCTTTCGTTGTTCAAAATATTTTACCGTAATCGCTTTTCGAATGGTTTTCAGTTAAAAAACTGTTGTACTCGTACTGTATTACAATAATATTCTATCCTATCATTAGCCTTATAATCCCACAACTGAAAACCATTCGAAAAGCGATTACGGTAACATCTTTTGAACGAAAGAAAGCGAAAGTCATTGCTTTCGTCACTTTCCACTGTAATACGTACATCATTTCAGCAAAAATATTACATTTCCATGTTCTCAGAAATAAATGGTAGTTTTGTTGAAACGTAATGTACAGTATTTAACATTAAAATGCAAAAATAGCTATAAAAACAATTAATACACCCGTAATGTACTGGCTGGCATCTCCACTCGTCCCTGCTCCCGCCAGTCACCTCCTCCCCGCTCTATCCCTCCGCCTCCTCCACATCGTCACTACTGTTGTATTACAATAATATTCTATCCTAATTGACTTGAATAAATACTACGATACCATATTTCTGAATATTTTCATTAAAATCCATCCAAATCATTTTCCTTGCCATCGTCTGCAGCACCAAACAGCTTCTCCCAGTCCTCTCCTTGAACAGGGCTAGAGGGTACGTGTTTTTCGAATCGTTTTCAATTAAAAAAATGTTACATCACACGTATATTTTACCTAAACTGCACCTGAATGAATATATTCTTGGAAATAAATAGTAATTTTGCTGAAACGTGATGTATTTCAATGTAAAATAGGATAAAATACATGACGAAAACAAAAGACTTCACCTAACCTTCCAATGTTCAAGAGATGTTACTCGTTTTTTTAATAGTTTTCGGTTAAAATACTGTTATATTACAATGATATTATATTCATACTGTGCTTGATATACTACATTCACAGAAATGAAATATTTTTGCTGAAATGACGTAAGTATTACAGTGGAATGTGGGACAAAATCGTGACGAAAACAATGACTTTCGCTTTCTTTCGTTCAAAAGATGTTACCGTAATCGCTTTTCGAATGGTTTTCAGTTAAAAAACTGTTGCATCACAAGTGAATTAGGATAGAATATTATTGTAATACAACAGTTTTTTAACTGAAAACCATTCGAAAAGCGATTACGGTAACATCTTTTGAGCGAAAGAAAGCGAGTCATTGCTTTCGTCACTTTCCACTGTAATACGTACGTCATTTCAGCAAAATATTACATTTCCATATTCTCAGAAATAAATAGTACTTTTGCTGAAACGTGATGTATTTCAATGTAAATTAGGATAAAATACATGACGAAAACAAGAGACTTTACCTAACCTTCCGATGTTCAAGAGATGTTACTCGTTTTTTTAGTAGTTTTCGGTTAAAATACTCTTATATTAGTGATATTCTATTCATACTGTGCTTGATATAATACATTCACGGAAATGTAATATTTTTGCAACTACAATGCTGATGTCAACACAAGCGTGGTTACAGCGAGACTGACTGAGTGAGGGAGAGCTATGCGTGTGTGTGTGAGGTTGCGGGAGCGGGCGGTGTCCCGTGTTCGGTGCCGCGCGCGAGTTGAATGGCGCGCGATTTGAATGTACTTCAATTACTTCAATGTACAGAATATTCCTCTGGCGGGGCAATCCGCGTATTTGCGAATCCGTGAATGCTAAACCCGCGTATGTGAAGGGCCGACTGTATGTATATATGTGTATATATATATATATATATATATATATATATATATATATATATATATATATATATATATATATATATATATATATATATATATATATATATATATTTCATTTTTATCCATATAACACGCGGACTTTGAACATATAATCAATGACCTCACCAGCCAGGACTTAACCCTGGACCTATATCGGGACCAGGGAACGCTACCGACCATATATACAAGAGCATGTGGTATGGTCGGTAGCGTTCCCTGGTCCCATGCATTAGGTAGGGTTCGAGTCCTGGCTGGTGAGGTCGTTGATTATATATATATATATATATATATATATATATATATATATATATATATATATATATATATATATATATATATATATATATATATATATATATATTATATATAAAATTTTCTATAAAAAATGCCATTGAATTTCTGTATATGTAATGTATTTCATGGGGCAAAGGGAGGCTCAGGAATGTAGCTCCCGTATTTTATCTATTTTTTTTTATGGGGAAAATTGATCCGCATAACTTTTCGTATAACTTCGCGTTTTCAGGAACTTAACCTCGACGTTAAGCGAGGACTTACTGTACCTGGTGGGAGCATTGAGCAATGTATAGTACGTACACCTAAAAACTTTGCGACACTGCCTCCTGATCAGGCCCTAGAGTTACTCGAGTTTGACAAGTACAGCAAGTCAAGTTTAATTCCTAACAACAAAAACTGCTTGGCTAAATCCAATATTTCTGGTTAACAAAAGTTATTGGAATCCCAAGCAACACTAAGATTCTGGTATCCTAACTGGAACAGATTGCACCTATATCTGTATTCATAACGCACAAGCACAGCAATAAATTTATTTTTACTCCCAATCATGGTAGTGAACCCAGTTCTTGGATATGTTAAAAATGTCTTCTATGAATCCTAACACAGTACCATACAGTATGTATTTTATCATTATACTGTAATTATACTTACTTGATATACAGTATGAGTAACATCTGATGACAAAATAATGTTCTACACGAGTGACTTGGTAAAATATCCTGGCTAAAACCATGCTATTATTCAATAAGATATTTTATTAATTTTTTATGGAATGAATATGGAATAACATTATGCTACAATACCCCTAATTACTACAACTGATATTACAGAACTGCATTCCTTCCATTGAGCAACTTACAGCATGCATAACAACATCTTTGGAGCTGCCAGAGAATCCTGTGTCTCGCTTTCGAGTTCTCAAAGAATCTCGTAGCGCATCAAGAGCTTTGGTAAGGGTAGATAAACGTGTTCCGTCACGGTACACAAATGACAACAACCACGCTATAGCATTTGTTGACATAATGGCTTGGCATCGCTCCGCATCTGTTGGGAAGAGTAAAATATGGTAGTTCCACTTTAAGTGGGGAAAAATTATAGTGGATATTTAATGACTATTTGTCGACTCTGAAATCCCTGGTATCCCTAAAATTAAGTACAGTATACACATACTCGTATATATGTACGGTAATGTACTGAGAGAAAAGAAAGTGGTTGATGCATCTGAAAGTATTTTCCCCATAAAAGAATCCTTATACACCTAATGCATTTACAGTAGAGTATAGCAAATTATCTTTACTTACCATACACAATATGAGCTGCTAATGACTTGACAAGATATCTGTATTCTTCCGTTACTTCGTTTCCAAACAGTGAGGAGTTACTGCGTGCTCCATGAAGGTTTGAAGTGGTTCGATTTACAGCATTAATGGTGCTGGAGGGATTGGATAAAGTTCTCTTCAGTGTTAGATGATCTTTTGATGAAGGACTGGACAAAGAACGCTGGTGACCCTTTTCTATGACTAGAGGAGTTGAAGCAATTTGAGGAAGTGGTGCTAGTGGTTGGGAATCACTAGCAGATGTAGGGCTGACGCTGAGTGGGGTAGGTGAGAGAGGTGGAGTACATCCTAAAATTGGTTCACTTTGGGGCTGATTCTGTGATTGATTTAATGTGAGGCGAGGTGCACAACCTTTGGTGTTCTGGACAAATTCCCGCAGGCTAAATGGTTGCCCAAAATCAATCCTGGCATGACCGTAATTTGTAGACAGCACTTTTATGATGGCTCTTACTGCTCCCCAAAATGATTCTGGAACCTGAAAAGTGGAGGATTGAAACATTAAATCATGTTTAAGATGCTTAAAATAGATGGCAAAAGTATTTCATTATCTGTGCATTTCTGGGCAAAAAGGCTGTGTAAAGTTTTGTTCAAGGTTAATATTACAGATGCTAAAGATACCGAAAACAAGAAACATATCATGACTGGTGAGCGTCAAACTTCTAAATTAAGTTAGACGTGTTACTGTATCATTTATAAATAATAGACAGGTTTGGTCTCCAGATTTGTCAGGGAATGAATTTCATCCTGAAATACTGTACTGTACTGGCTCAATAACATACCCATGAAATACATGTAAGTATACTATATTTGGGTATGCATTTAACATGTACAGTATATTAATGTTACAGCTAACCCATTTCAGTAAAAATCTTGGTCTAGATAGAGGTAAAAAAAAAACCTTAACCTTTGGAATATGTAATCATTGTCTTGGGCAATAATGAATTACGTACTGTACAGTAGCTCATTGCAACTGTCTTATTTTGAGGAGAATAACTATAAAAGCTATTCGCAAGTACAGTAATGTAACAATTCATGGAAAGGCTATTCACAGTGCAAACTGTAACAGCAGACATGATCTAAGCATGGGGAGCTGGTTGAAAATGCAGCACAACAAAATATTCCAATCGGGTTTGACAATTCCTCTAGAGATGCATGTAGGAAATATGGAAAACCAATGTTAAAAGAGGTTTCTTAAGTATATGTCGACAATAGATCAGACTTGTGACACCATTTTGAAGTATTGTATTGTACAGTGTATTACCTACTGATCTGGTGTTCAGTCTATGATCACTTGTGACACCTACATTTCTATTCACTGAAAATTGATGAGGCAAAGTATATTTTCCAGGGTTTTGACCCAGTGAACCTGGAGCTTCACTAAGGTTAGATGCAAACAACTAATTAAGAATTTGACACAATGATTCAATCCTGGTTTCACAGGGTAAGTAGCTGATATGCAGCAATTTTACATTGTCCAACACACACGAACAATTATCAGAGCTTCCCTGTCCAGAGTATATTCTGCCAGAGGATACTCTAGTGGAATTATCTTGCAGATCACTCGGTGAAGACACATAAGCTATAAACTATGTTACTGGATGAGTTACCACACTCAATCAAAACAGCTGTTAAATATATAACAAACTGCTAAACATAAACCATATTAATGTGGCTTTCACAATAAAAAATCTCATCTAATTCTTTAATTAATCCCACACTTCAACTTCTTAGTCTTTATATCCTAATAAACTGTGCTCTTAAGGTTTATAATGTTAAACTTTTGAATACAAAGACTGAATGAAAAAATAACTCAAACTACACTAACCTTGCTTTGTCCCATTTGCTCTCTAATAAAGTTTCCATCTAACAGCCTGTCATAGTTAATGGCAATGGGAACAATGAGAGCATCATCAAGTGTGCCATTGCTGTAAGCATCCACAATCACGCTCAAAAGGCCACCTGTAATAAAAATAAAGGACAGCTTCAGAAAAAAATATGAGACATTACAGAACAATACACTGACTTGAACAGTCAGTGGTGAATGCTATTTCCATGATCCCTTTATGAGGACTATTAATTTCAGCTGGAAGGTGTGAGTAATTGATAAATGTGTCCCAACAGTTAGCTGTTTGAGGGTTCCCAGGGGCTAACCTTGTAGACTTGGTAGGACAATACAAGAGTTGTTTGAGATAATTTTAAGGTCATAAAATAAAATACTACAGGTAATATACACTTAACAACACAAAATATTGCCATTTGCATGAATTCATTAAAATAAAATCCCCTTTATCATAAGAATATACCCAAATATTGTACACAATTACACACACACACACAAAAAAATACAAATTATTAGGATAATCACTCCATATTAATGATTACAATAATGTACCACTTGACCCTTCAGCAGTACCAAATTCATTTGAATTACCATCATGGTTGACGCACATATTTTTGGCTTAACGAGTCATATGTACCGTATATTCCTTAGTACTGTGATAATACAGTACAGTGAACCCTCACTTTACGCGGTCAATTGAACCCACAGCGACCCGCGTAAAGTGAACAACATAACCCATGGGATTAATTGAAATAGAGACCGGGCCAACCCCCAAACTCCACTTTTTCAGACACAATACCTACGTTGTAGTAAAAATAACTTCTTAATTTTATGATGGTATGCACACACAATTAATAATTAAGAGAAATATCAATAATATTAGGTTTTTTAACAATTACATTAGTAGAAAAGATGGCTGGGTACACGGGGATGGGGGGGTTGGTTCCGAGGCAGAGGGCAGATTATTGGCCCTCACCTGTATCACTTGTATCACTATCCACCACAGAGGCTTGCAGGGCCTCTTTGTCAAACCCTTCAAAGTCCATATAAGTCCATATCCTCACTATCATTATCACTATCACTGACTTGGGCCGGCTGTGGTGGGTGGCGGGTGAAGAACTCGGTAATGTTTTGATGACTGGGCGACCTTGTGCGCACCCTGCACGCGCCGCTCTCCGCGTAAAAGGGTACACACACCGCGGGAAGTGAGCATTCCGGTTTCGGCAGGGTACCGCGTAATGTGGGACCGCGTAAAGCGAGGGTTGACTGTACTTACAAAATGTTGGAACAATTTGAAAAAGAGAAGATTACCTGGCTTAATCACTCTTGAAGGACACTGTCATTGTACAGTAATGTATACTGTAAGAAACAGATCTGCTGCATTTCCCTGATATTATTTACTAATACTTTTTAAAATTTCATATTTTCACTCAAAAAATATAACTTTTCCCTCACTCTCTCTCTCTCTCAATCACAACTTTATGCTGTACTGTACTATGCTTTCCAGACTGTTAATTCCCTATTTATCATTATTTAAAGTTTTCCAAAAGCACAGTAAATTCTATTCTTTCCATGTGAGCCAGTCCTCCTTGTACTCTTTGCATATTCAAACTTGTTTACTCAAAAATCTTGTGAGGACCTCAATGTGATACCAATATCAACTTCCAGAATTCTTTTGCATATTAACTGTAATTACTTACATGATAATTAAGTTAATAGCATGACACTGAAATATGTTGGGAAGAATGTATATACTTCACCTTACTTTGAACACAGGATGGATGATTGTAATTGTTGCTTCACCTTACAGTACTTTTGTTATACAGCAGTTATAAAGTTATTCTTAACATTGAATTACATTACTAATTAACTACAAATTCACACCTGATAACCAAGATCATTAATGGTCTTTATATAATTTACCTTTAGGTAAGCAGGGCTTGCCAGTCCGAGTCCGACCACCCTCAATGAAAAACTCCAAGTTGTACCCTGCTTGCAGTGCATGAGTGACGTAAGTTTGGAGCACAGAACGGTAAAGAATGTCTTTGCGGGCCTTGCAACTTTCCAGGCGGCGTTTAATGAAGAAACCTCCAAGACCTCTTAGTAGCCAACTGTTGGATGAAAAGAAAATTAAAATCACCAGAGAAGATTACAGACAAAGACATCACAAATACTTTTACAAAACAGCAAGTACTGTATGTGAGATAACTCCTATTGATATGAATAAAAAAATATTCAGTTCCTGTACTTTGGAATTTACTGCTAAGATTCATAATTTTAACAGATACTGTAGTGTATTTTAGTTCAAATCTATAAACTTATACCAAAATCAGAAAGATATAAACCCCTTTGGTACCACCAGTGCGAGTGGGCTATATGCCTGCTACCTTCTGGGATGTGCACAGGATGTTGCCAGTCAGTGGCTATCACGGGCACACTCTTGATGGTTGCTACGCACTACTGATGGATTAATCTAGTCAGGCATTGTATAGGCAAACTTTTTTTTATATACCTGTATACATCTGGTGAAGTCAATGTTAACAAAAAACTATAAAATGATGTGAAAATCCTACTCTCAGTTGGCTTGTTATGTTGAACTTTTACTGGGAGGTTATATAATGAGATGTACTTAAGGGTTATTGACACCAAGTGGACACCTTCATGGTCATGGAGGAAGAGAGGGAGAGGTGTTATGGGGATCAGCTTTTAAGTCAATGGCTCTAAGTAAATAAAAAAACCATGAATTCATAAAATCAAACGTGGGATTTAGTTTTAATAATAAACTGGAATTTTTTTAAAATGTTAGATGTCATACCACACCATAACTTGGAACTCTGGAACCCAGGAGGACATGTTCCTGGCAGATTATTGGGATATCTCAATTAATCAGTCATGTCTTTAAAGACTAAAGGCAAAGTATATAACTTTCATGATTTTCAGCCACATTAGTTAAGTGTCCGTTAATTTTATGATCAAAATGTAAATATCTCAATAAACCCAAAGTGTACATAGAATAATTCTTCGAAGCTCCACATTAAAAATTGGGGTAGCTTGTTGTAACTGTACCAAAGGGATTAATCTAAGGAAGTTATACACATACAGTATATGCATTAAATGTTCCGGTGATGATAACTTTATATAGCCTACCCAAAAACAGGAATCCTTAGATTGTCGCCTGCAGCAACAATTGGTGCTGGGATCTGCCGGTTGAAGAGGACCCATGTGACAAACAAGTAGTCAACGTGTGATCGATGCAAAGGTACAAAGATGATGGGTGTGTCTCTCTGTGCTGCTCTCTCAATCACCTCTTGCTGGCCTCCATGTATCGTTACTGACATGAGCAGGTTGCTGAACACTTTGAACAACACGTAACCTGTTATTCTGAAACCATAATATTTATGAATGTATAATCTCAAGTGACATTGTGTAGCAAGGAGTTTATAAAGTAAGGTACACAAATTAACAAGTCTAAAAAAATGGAATATTAAAACAAAGTAATCAAAAAGGGGGATTGAACTAACCAACACTGCACAGCACAATAATACATTTTACAACATATTATGCTACTTTTTTAATTTTTCAAGCCTTTTCCTGCTGACTGCAAATTGAAAAAAAAAGTAAACAAATAAAAAATCTTCCTGCTGTAATATCACTAGGCCCCAAATTTGGTTTAATCCTGTTGTTTCACACAAGCCAACATCATCTATCAGAAGTAAATCATTCCCTTAAAATCATGACAACACACGCTTTCCCCATTAATGCAAACTGCTTCCCTATTTCTTATGTATCTTTCACCTCATTCTTCAATCTCTTTGGTCTTCCCCCTCTATCTCCTACAAGCTTCTTCCGATCAAGCTTGCACTTTAAATTTTCTCAACAGGTCTTTTACTTCACATACCTTTGTATCTGTACAGTATTTCTTATTTTTATACAAGGTTCTCAAGTGTGTTATTTACCATACTGTACATCTTATCTACTCTTTCCTGTTCCATCAAGAAGACATGCTTTACATCCATATAATATTTGTACATGATGGTAATGATCCTCAGCACCAAAAGGAATGGCACAATCAAGTTTAAAAGAAACAGGAACACAATTTTTGTTCCTCTGTAGCTGTGACTAAAGAATTCCATTCAGATTAAAATCATCTTACTACATTTGATTTCTTTATTCATGATGTTACAAATTAAAATATTTGGTGTGACTAACCTTATTAGAATGCTAGATAAAGCAGACTTCATTTCATTGAGCAACCTGTGAGCTCTGGTGGTGTGTTTGCTTAAGAGGGCTGAGTACGATTTCTTGTCATTTGCATCCAGTCCCTTTTCTTCCAACTCCTCGGCTATCACTTGCTCCATTGCTGTTGTAACTCGTTCATCACGGATGATCATCTGTTGGAGGTAAGAAATTCCAAACGTGACATATATTTAAGGGAAAAAAAACTACTGTAGTTACTTACTGGTACAGTAGTTAAAATTTTGGTCCCGAGATGAGCTAAAAGAATTCTGTGTACTGTACCTATACAGTACTGTACTGTGTTATGTTTTAATTACAAGCAATCTTTACCATGCACTGTATAGTAAACTGATGAAAGACAGTATGCTTTGGAGATAAAAAGAGAGGTCACCTTACACAGCACTACAGTGGGACTAACAAACAACTGACGGTGATGGTTTTACCGAGTTTGGTATAACTGGGTAGTTGAATCTCGTTCGAAGGTTCATACAATGGAAGACGTAGCAGCATTTTCTCGTTAGGTAATATCGGTCAGCGTTACTGGTGGACACACGGAGAAGGTTTTGAAGCCCAAGCTTGGTGGTGGTGTCATCAATAAGGCCATTCTGAAATCAGCATCAGTTACTCTTAATAAAACTTGAAAGATTTACTGCACTTTACAGTAAAATAAATCATCCAATGCATGCTCTTCACATATGAACAAATAGAAGTACAGTACAGTATTTTGTAAACATGGTATTAACACTAGACCCTAAATTTACAATGTCATTCCCAATATTTTACTATACATCTGTGGAAAAGGAAGATTATTTGTTTCCAAGTGACAACACCCAAGTAAAAAGATACCAATGATACTGTATTATGTTACTGTATAAAAATTGAAGGAACAACAGAATAAATTTCCTTGTACACTGATACAAATACAATAATTTCCAACACAAGTACAATACTACAGACATCCCTTTAGCTCTTGCATGAACTACAATATAAAGCCTTATTTTCTGTCATAAGTGTTACAATAATCTAGCAGCTCATCTTGACAAGTAGGGATGAAACGTGCTGTCAATACTGGGGCAGATCTAATCTACAGGAAGGAAACAACTCGGACTCATGAACACTTTTTACATTAACAGAACACACCAAATAAACTCTGGTGAATATTTTTATTTACAGGGAATCTGCATGAAGAACATTCTGAAACAATATATTGACATAATTTGTATCTTTACTACCGGTAACCTTCCTTAAGGTATACATTAGTTCATGCTTGTTTCATATACAGTAGTAGCAGAGGTTAGATCAACACACAAAATTTGTATTTATGAAACAACGTCTTTAAAGGTTTAAAAGATGATGCTTGGGTTTGTTTTCTGTTTTATTTACTTTAACTTCTAAGGTAATTAAGCACTACTGTATTCACTAGATCTTAGTTTCAACAACAGACATTTAAAAAAAATTCAGAGAGCAGAGTTCCTTGAACTTCTTGTGAAATGTCTAGACAGTTTTTTAATTAATTTTCTGAACAGATAAAGAAAGTTTAAGTCAGTCTACCAGTGATAAAGACAAGATTAGTGTAGAGGGAGAGAAGCCCAAGAAAGCTACGTACATTGCAGCCATCGGTGTTGGTACCAACCAGTCGTCCAGGTGGGGGAGACTCAGGAGGGGTGGGCATAACACTGGCTATGTGGGCTGCCAGACTCTTGCCATCTGGAGCCCAAGGAGTGGTGAGTGGGCCAGTCAAGCTTGTGTTGGCAGTAGTGGGGATGGTCATGCCACTGTTGTATGACTTGGGAGGATATTCAAGCTGGGCCCAAGAGATGCCCAGATCTTCTCTTTTCATTACCTGGGTGGTCATCCTCCACACACAATTTGCAAAATTTTATATTATAATTTTCACTTACAGTTCATTGCAATATGTATTTCTTGGATGATGTATACGTTTAAGCACTAGGCCTACCTAAATAAAAGAATGAGTCACATCAATAAATATTGGGTGTAAATACACAAAAAAATACACTATAATCATTTCATTAACGAATATACTTGTACTCCTAAACCTCAAAAACGTTTCACTGTACAATATATGTGAAGTTCCGAAGACAATAAACAAACATATAAATAAATGAATAATAAATAAAACCCATAATACAATTTGCACATCCACTAAACCTCAGAAATTTTATTGCAAATTTCAAAATATGAGAATAAAATTGTACTGTACAGTACTGTAGTTGATTTCATGAGCCGGGTAGGACGAAAGGATAGGCCAAACACCATTCCAGTAACATATAAGGCGTTTATTGTAAGGCGTTTTAAGATGCACGGAATAGCTAATGCGTTAGCTTTCCCAGACCATCATGAAAAAATTCGACATTGTACCGCATCTTGGAAATAATTGTTGTACAACACAGTCTTCAGAAAACAATAAAATTAGGAGAACTGTTATTTGGACACAATACGGAAAGAATTAGTGAAGAAAATATATATACAGTTATGGAAAGAAAGACAAAAAGGAAAAAAAGCCAATCAGTCAATAATAAATGAGAATAAGACAAAAAATCGGGCCCGTTGTAAAGGTAATTTTTCCCGGACTATGAAACCACACAACGTCCAACAGAAGAACTGTACGCTTCTTCTCTCGCGGCTGTTTGCATATTCACACACGCAATACGACAAATTTCAGGTGCGTTTAAGTCTTAATTTTTGCACTTACAGAGCTGTAATCAACTTGTTCACCCTTTTCAAAAGTATCTTATGAGTAATGATATTAAAGTTTTAATCATATTTGAGTAATTATCAATATTGTTACACCAAAGTCACTAACGGCTAATGAAATCAGACAGCGCCCACTTAAAAATGGGCGGAGCCAAAACTAGTTTCAACTAGTCGCAATTCTTTTCAAACTTTTCTCGCCATACGCTTTGTTTTAGGTCCTATCCAAAATGCAGTACTACCGTATATAGAATTACTTTTATTATTATATCAGTTTTTTATTGCCTTACATGGTCCCAACTCTTCAATATTCAGGCCCGTCCTTTAGGGGCGAACAGGGGCGACCGCCCGGGGCCCCGCGGGGCCCAGCACTAGACCCAGTGACCTCGGACACATTACCTGTTGACTGGTTAATCTGACCTGACGGCTTACGCCACCATCGCAACCGTGACCTTACCATCCATAGCGACAGTCCCATGGGGGTTGGTGGGGGTGGGTTCCTCTGACCGCATAATCTGGGGCCCCGCAGTGGCTGAGTTGCCCCAGGCCCCGCACCCTCCTAGGGACGGCCCTGTCAATATTAATAAAAATATTCTCCATAAGCAGCCATGATCTGCATATTTTCAGTGGGAGAAATAGCTGATTGGGTGTTAGCTATTAGGGCCGATTGGGCGCTGCACAAGGCTAACGCCTGATCGAGATGTTAGCTTTTCCCTCTGAATGTGTCATGCGCACAAGTCAAAAGCAGCGTCTGCGCATACAGAACGCTAACGCGTTAGCTAATCCGTGCATCAAAAACGCCTTACACTAAACACCTAAAGGGGAGGGAGGCAGAAATATAGTGTCTTCTTTGGCAATTGAGATTTCTGAAGGACGAAAACATGCCAAAATATTTAATCATATTCTACAATGGTATATAGTGTAGTGGACGTCTCCCCTACAACTGCGTAGCCACGCCACCACCTGCTATCACATTCCAACGTGCCGTTGCCTAGCAACGAAACTATTCACCGGCGACTTCTCGGGTTTTCCCAACATGACTCATAGCGGCTGCTGCTGGGTATATAAGCTCTGTCTCTCCATTGAGATTCATTTCGGACCAACCTTCTTGAACAAGCAACACCTCCTCCTCCGCCGCTGCCTGGCTGCCCTTCACTTCTCGCCTGCCTGGCGGTCCTCTCTCCCGCCAGCGAGCATGGCGACCCACCAGCTGTCCTCTGAGCTTCCTCACCAACCAACCCTCATTCTGCCCATTTTCCTGAACAAGCAACATCTCCTCCAGCAAGCTCCTAGCTGTCCAGCATTCATTCAATCAGGAGGCCAGCAACAGGCAACATCATCTCTAACGAAGCTCCTGCACATCTACCTCCTTCAACACGCTACTCACCGAACGTCTTCTACTGAGCAGCCCCTCACCAGATGGCATCTCCAGCACCAGACTGTCTTCATATAACTTATATATTATACAAGAAAACCACATTAGAGTTTCCTTCCATCCTGAGTGCTAGACAACATTAATATCTCGATACCCGTACAATGGTGACTCCCGGAGATAAGCACTCACACAGGATGGAGGAGACACTGATCACGCTCCCAGTCTTCAAGCAGACACCGGCTCCTCTTCCTGCCCCACGCACCACATTCTGACGACCCCAGCACACCCGTCCTGCCTCAGACGCCGACCCCGGCCCAGCAGTACCTGCCGTGAGGGAAGCACACAACATCCATCGCCTCCACACACCCTCTTTTCTCCCTCAGGTACTCCCTGCTAATGTCCTGCACCCTGCTGCTGTCGTGGACCCAGCTGCTGTCACGAGCCCTAATCCGCTTCTGCTGACGCAGCCCCTGCTCCTGACCCAGGCCCACACACACCCCAGCAGGCGCATCTGACGACCCTGTACCTGTCGTGAGGGAAGCACACCAATCATCGCCTCCACACACCCTTTTTCTCCCTTCTCCCACAGATAGTGTGTATCTAGACAGTTGTATTTCAGCGATCGGCTCATCACGCCATCGCCGTTGTCTCACATGAGGCATGCACCGCCCGGTCTGCCTCACATGTGCTAAGCAACTCTACAGACAACAAGTCTCCTACACCGCCTGGAGGGGAGGGGAGTATTGTAGTGGACGTCTCCCCTACAACTGCGTAGCCACGCCACCACCTGCTATCACATTCCAACGTGCCGTTGCCTAGCAACGAAACTATTCACCGGCGACTTCTCGGGTTTTCCCAACATGACTCATAACGGCTGCTGCTGGGTATATAAGCTCTGTCTCTCCATTGAGATTCATTTCGGACCAACTTTCTTGAACAAGCAACACCTCCTCCTCCGCCGCTGCCTGGCTGCCCTTCACTTCTCCTCGCCTGCCTGGCGGTCCTCTCTCCCGCCAGCGAGCATGGCGACCCACCAGCTGTCCTCTGAGCTTCCTCACCAACCAACTCTCATTCTGCCCATTTTCCTGAACAAGCAACATCTCCTCCAGCAAGCTCCTAGCTGTCCAGCATTCATTCAATCAGGAGGCCAGCAACAGGCAACATCTCTAACGAAGCTCCTGCACATCTACCTCCTACAACACGCTGCTCACCGAACGTCTTCTACTGAGCAGCCCCTCACCAGACGGCATCTCCAGCACCAGACTGTATTCATATAACTTATATATTTTACAAGAAAACCACATTAGAGTTTCCTTCCATCCTGAGTGCTAGACAACATTAATATCTCGATACCCCTACAATAGCATCCCAAGAGAAAAATGAAAGATAATTTAGGGTGATTTCGGCATGTTGTATGTTTACGAAAAGTTTAACAACAATTCACAAGGCTAATATATATGGTACTGTACATTGATAAAAGGACAACAATACTGTAATATCTTTCATCTGTAATGAAAT